AAAGAGAGATCAATTGGAAGGCGGCTATTTTTAAACATGGCGTGGGTCAGGCCAAAAAAAAAGAAATGGAAAAACAGCGAGTCAATGCAGTGACGCAAATTACGCGATTCCCACACTGAGAAAAGAAACTTACGAACTTAGTTAAAGCCTTTCAATTAATATTATTTTCGATAGCTTGGAAAAAGTATAAAAGGCTTAAATGTTAGTTTATCACAAAATGGTTTAAAACGTCGGAACTTATAAGCATTTATATACTAGTTGATTAGAAATATAAAAAGAATTCGTTGCTTTTTTTGGTGAAAGCTGAACAAAAAGATTTATTAAGATTTAGGATAATTATTTCAGTAGATTTTTTCTCATAGTGTTTGGGATGTTTGGTGGCAGGATATCGCGATTCCAGCTGATGTCATCAGCCAGACGACAAGGACCCATGGCTTCTGTTTCTCTAACGATTTCGTCTTGGTTGCCTAAAGCCAAATTAAATAAATAGAAAATGTTTTTTGTTGCTGGCCATCGCTCCCCTCTAATGAAATTCTAACACGCGCCACACTTCAAGTAGGCGATGAATGTGTATCCTGGTGGGTGTGTGTGTAGATGTGTGGTGTTAGTGTATGGTGTATGGTGTGGTGTGTGCCTGGGTATCTAAGAGCAGCTGGTCATAATGAGCCACTTGAGTGGCGCACACGCATGCAAAAAGCATTCGAGGCTAAAGTCGTTCTGTGGTCGGTCGTTCGGTGGTTCGGTTGTTCGGTGATTCCAACATCATCTGACCTTCGACTAGGGACAATGCCAAGGTGCGGGGAGAGGTTTGGACAAGGCCAGGATTCTGTGCGATTGGGTGGGTGTTTGGCATGTGGGCAACTTCCTGTTGCTGGACCTGCACCCGCATGCACAGGGGGAAATATCGCTAGGTTACTACGCTCTAGTCACCATTTAATTCTTATGTAATACATTTTTAGTTTACCGAAGTAGGTTGAAAATCTCACTTGTTGAGATCTCGTAATGATTCAAAACAAATGCGATTTGTACTAAAAAGTTTAAGCTAATAAAAAGGGCAGTAAAAAGCTTTAACTTAAATGGCGTTAAAGTACAAAAGTCCGATTGTATTGTTAATTCCTAAAAAGTTTTATATATTTTCAACTGGATTTATTTTTCATGTATATACTCTGCGGATATCCTCTTTAATTTTCCCTGAGTGTACTGCCTAACCCCGAATACTGTCACACATGCACTAAAATTTCATTTCCGCTTCCTGTCGCATTGCCATTGCCAGGACATGTTTGCAACGCGTTGCATTGGCGAGGTTGCATTGGGAAACGCGCAGTGAGAGAGTACAACTATTTGCCGCATCTCCATTTTGATAATCATTTAACACTTTTTCGTATATTTCTCGCTCTAGATAAAAACCAAACGTAGCCGCCCAATGCATACAAATGAGCGGAGGAGCCCGGGAGTCACGTAGCCAGCAAGGACCCCATCCAACGAAGCGGCGAAGAGCGGTGGCTCTAATTAAGACAGGCCTGGTCTGGGCCAAAATAAATGGAACCCACGAGTGGCGGAGCGTTTTCGGTGTTCACACAAATTAAATTCCATCAAGTTTATTTGCTGTAAATGAGGCAGTGGCTGAAGGAGTGGAAGTGCTGGCCTTAATTTAATTTCCCCACCCTTAACCCTTTGTGGCCCTTAGCACGTGTTGCCATGTTACCATTTACCATTTAGAAGCGAAGGAATAGGCCTGAAACATATACACTTAAACACACAGATGCTAAATCAAATTGGTTCGATTTTCCATGTAAATAGTCATTATAATTATTATTGTGGTCTACGTTGATCTATGCCTTGAGCAAGGTCAGCGGCAAACCTTGGGAAACACGAAATTGTAAACATAAATCTAATATTTATTATAAAATTTCATGTTTATGCATCTCGCAAATGCTATGATTATAAAATTAAAAAATTAGACGGTCGAGAAGAGGGCAAATCTATTAATTAGTAATTATTATAATGTGATGTTATATATATAAATCAATCGATAACGAGAAAACTAAAGAAAATGAAACATAAAAAAAAATGAAATATACAAAAATGTTTAACCAACGTAACAAATTTCACTAAGTAGATTTTTCGAATTAAATTTAAATAATAATGATTAAAAGTATAGCAAAAATTCAGAAAAAACAAAATAATTTTGCTGTATACACGAGATAAAAAGCGTTTTTCTACTAAAACTGAATATGTAAAATGATTTTTCAAATCTAGATTACCCCATATACCTAATTATATAACAAAACAAATTATACAGATATAAATTACAAATTCTATGTAAATGTTGTGCGTATATAAAAGCAAAAGCGTAGAATCCCACATTTCGAGATCTTTTAGTTATTTGTTATGTGTGTGCTATATCTTCTTCTATGTATACATTAAAAGAGCGCTTGGCTTCGTCTAGCAAACATTTTGGGCCTTAAACCAACCTACTCAAGCCGGGTCCTCGGTGTACTTCTTATTACCCAGCATTCTTTAGATCAATATATCTATATACCCCTGGGGAGGGGGGCAACCCACACACTAATGGTTATTCTATATCTACGTGAATGTGTTCGTTTCTAAACTTGTATAAAAGCACGCACCCCTCTCCGCTCAGACACGAACTGTTTGTAAAATATTCACAGAGAAAACGAAATTAAACTATAATATAAATAATATTTCCGGGAGTAAAGGAAGAAGACATTTTAGTTTTTCTACTTGAATCGCATTTCTTCCACTTTTCACCAATCAAATTTAAATGAGAAATTTAATACGAAGAATGGAATTTTGAGTCTCTTCAATCCTCAAGCTCAAAACAAACCCAAAACAAAATAAAAACAAACTAATAATAATGAAGTTTTTAGGTTCTATTATTTAGTTGTCTTGTTATTTATATGTTTAGCTTTAGTTTTTGTCTAATTTATTTATAAGTTTTGGCTCCGCAATAAATACAGACAATTATATATATTTGTTCTATAATTTGTTTCATTTTTAATTCGTGAACAAAAGATTATGAAAATAAAAGCTAAAAAAAATCGATAACAAATGAATTGCTAAATTTAAGCGCAAAAGTTCAATTAATAAAAATTAGAATTTTAATATTAACATAATTTGGAATATTTATATATACATACGCATATATATACAACTCTATATATGAATAATTAGTAACAAATCAAATCAATTTCCATAACAACCGCCAGACAAAAATATATATATACTTAGTGACGAGTGCAAGAAATACTCGTGCAATTGTACTTTAAAATTGAATAAAATTCAATAAGAAAAAAAAAGAAAAAGTGAAGGTGGAACGAGTGGAATGGAATTAGGCTTCACATGCAACTCTGTTGGCATAGGGCTGCCATCGCCAACTTGCATGCAGCCTTTAGAAGAGGACAACAACAGTCGAAACACAAGCAGACTCACTCACACAAAAGGCTTCAGATCAACAGAGCAAAAGGGATAGATAGAAGTAGCTTGCGCATGCAAAATAGTAGAGTTGATTGATTGGTGATTATTATTGGTGGATGTGTCGTGCATTGGGAGCATCAATTGCAACAATAATTCCAGGCATATCGAAGCATTTTTACTCAGCATTCAGACGACAGCAATCAGCGAAATCGGCAACCAAAACTGATGGCAATAACAAGCAAAAATACCAATTCGGGATCAGAAAGCGATGACAAACAGGAAGACGATGAAACCACACACAGAGACACACAAACACAACCACAATAAAGGACGAACGCGAAAAAGTAAAAACTTAACGGGATTCACATATGTATATTCAAGAAGCAATAATGAAAGTATATTTCCAAGTATGGGAAAACAACCAAGAAAGTCAAGAACTAACATGAATAAATATTTATACATATATTTTAATTATAGTTACAAATTAGCATATATATAAATTATACATACATACAAATATATATACCGAAGATAGTCCAAATAATTTAGCAAAAAAATGAAAACCAAACGAAGTAATGTTTAATATTTACAAAATATTAAAATATCAATGTGCAATTTAACAAGCGTTTAAAACACCACACTGACACAGCCACACAAAATTAATGCTACACCTATATATACACACACATATGTAAACCGATTATAAACATTATATATGCGTATATAACAAGTCGATACGAAAAAACGATCCATTTATAAACGAGAAAAGGCGAGCGACAAAGTTTAGTGGCAAAAAAAAACAACTTAGTTTTGTGTGCACACACAAACACCACAGTAAACCCTACTTAAAAGGAAATCAAAATTCAACTAACAAAACCACACGAAACGAAACCGTGCTAAATGCTACAAAAAGCGGTTCAAGTCAAGTTTTTGAGCAAATACTCATAATTGTTAAAAATGTTTAAATAATATAATAACAAAAGTAAAAAAAAAAAATTAAATTAAAAACAAACAAAAATCCTTAACAAAAACAAATTGCATATTACCATATATTTTCTCTCTCCTTAGACAATTTAGTTAATTATGAAAAGTAATGAAAAACAAACATTATACTTAAGTGTTAGTCTTATATATAAATAAATATATGATTAATAAAAATAAAAATGATAAATGCAGTAAAAGAAAATCACGGAACAGCAGCCGACGAAAGAAATGTGAAGAGCACAGTAACAGCAAACAAGTGAAAATAAAAACCAGTAAAGAAACAAAATCGAAATGAGAAAAACAAAACTTAAACTAAGAAATTAGATTTGCCTTTGTGTTAATATCAAGTGTGTTTCTTACTACCATTATTATTATTATTTTTTCATTTCCAATTGGTCAGACGTGTGAAATGATTTCCTTACATATTGATTGAGAAATAAAAATTATTAAACAAAAAAGCAATAAAATGTGTTTTATTTAAAACAAATTCCCAAGGGCTGTCCCCCGATTTCGCATGGTTTCCCAGAATAATACGTATATTCCCTTTGGACCTTACTCATAATTCGTTTCACCTACAGGAGGATAGCTTATCAGTATGGAACCGGACTGCCACTGATATGACCAGTACAACACGTATCCGTGATACGTTACGCAGGATATTAAATATACCTCTAACAACGGCAATGGAGTATAAGATACACTGTGATAGCCTTAAATATGTTTCAATGTAAGTATGAAACCAAAGCCCAATTTACAATCCTTAAGGCAGTAAATAATTTATATATAAATATTTGAAAACTAAAACTAAAGTCAATATCTTTCAAAAAAAATATTGCGACAAATTTGTTTGTTCAAACTGTTGAGATTTTCAATCTTCCTAAAAGTCACACCTGAATTATAACGAAACTAATAATCCGAACACTACCTGTACCATACGTAGGCCCAGGCGTCGAAATCGAAAGCTGGGGAATCTTTTTAATCGAAATCGATACTCGTTCAATACAAAAAATGGAAGATCATGATTAAAAGTCTTCGATGATCAAGTCATTTGTGATTTTGGAAAGAGTTTATGGTTTGAAAAGGGAAATGGGTATCGCTACGGCCAGGTCGTAATTTACTAATAAAATATCCAATATTCTTCTCTTATTTTGCAGTAATAAAGGCCCATTGAAAAGCTGAAATTCAGTGAATAACTATAAACAAAAGAAAAACAAAAACAATAATTACACAAACAGATAATATAAGTCGCTAGTGAAAGCAGCAACAGTCACAAGTTCATCGACAGCACAGACAAGAGTTACACCAACAGTTAGCACAAGGAACCATCGTGGACACACTAGAACTTCAGCCTCATCGGAACCGAACCCACAGCCTCGACAGCCAGCCGCATCAACAACGAGGGCAGGATGGGCTCCGAGCTCAGCCTCAGCCGCCCTAGAACCCAATCATTAAACCCATAGCAAGGCAAATTAATATTTAAGCGCTAATGAGACAAATCTTTGTATTTTAAACGAGTTTACAAAGTGTGTGTATATATGAAACGCCATAAATATTTTAGTTTGTATGTATAAAGTTTACATTAGGCATTCCCAAGAAAATCAAAGTCCCTAACTGCCTGATACTAAAGCCTCTAGTCTGGCTATTATAGTTTATTTTGTATTCATTTACCAAACCTTATCTTAATCTCCCCAAAACGATTGGACCACCTCTCCCACAATCGTGCCCTTGTATTGTAGCCTTATCGATTATCGCCATAGCCGGCAGGCAGCCAACACACAAGATAATGAATCAATGAAACTGACACACTTACTAGCCGATACTGTATTTATCTGTTTGAAATGATTATTTTAAATTAATGATACACACCGAAACTGAATAATCAAATTGTTTGTTTTTGTTCTTGAAGAAATACAAAAAGTTTTTTACGTGAAGAAAAAAAGAGAAAAACTAAAAATTGAAAAAACCCAGTTGTTTTACATATACCAAAAACAGTTGAAACCTACTCACACATCCGAATTTTATTCCTCCCGTAAACTTTCTCCGGTACAGTACAACCAACGCAAGCCCAAATAAAGGATACTATTAAAGTTGCAGAAAATATTTTCAAAACAGCTTGGTGGTATTATCATTTTTAACGTAAGTATTACGGACGAAGAAATGATACATAGAAACGACATCGAAGATATACCCATATTATTCATTAATACAAATGTTTCGAAATGAGATGAAATTATCAAGCGAAATATAATGAGAAACAACTCAGGGGTTTGATAAATGGGGTTGCTTAGCAAGCGTTAAGCCTGGAGATTAATTTGACGTACGAAAAAAGGCACCATACAGCCATACGCTATATACTTCAAAATGATTGTGGTTAATTTTAAAATATATTCAGTTTGATTGTAATTTGGGTCGATTTTACATTTTTATAGTGTTACCTTTCGAATTTTGGGGCTTTGAGAAAAGTACAAAAATGCACTTCTAAGCCCATAACTTTTCTTACAGACATCCGCTTTCCAAGTGGCATACTTCAAAATGATTGTGGTTGAATTTTTAAAAAAACTGTATACTCAGTTTGATTTGTAATTTTGGGTCGATTTTTCATCATTTTTATAGTGTTATCCCTTTCGAATTTTGGAAAAATGGCTATGCAGAAAAGTTCCAAAAACTGCACTTCTAAGCCCATAACTTTTTTACCGACATATGATTTCAAAGTGGCATACTTCAAAATGATTTTGGTTGAATTTCTAAAAACTGTATACTCAGTTTGATTTGTAATTTTGGGTCGATTTTTCATCATTTTTATAGTGTTACCCCTTTTCGAATTTTGGAAAAATGGCTTTGCAGAAAAGTGTCCAAAAACTACACTTTTAAGCCCATAACTTTTGTTATCGACATTCGATTTCAAAGTGGCACACTTTAAAATGATTGTGGTTGAATTCTCAAAAAACTGTATACTCAGTTTGATTTGTAATTTTGGGTCGACTTTTCATCATTTTTATAGTGTTATTTTTCGAATTTTGGAAAAATGGCTTGAGAAAATAAAAGCCCAAACTTTTCAATATGATTTCAAAGTGGCATACTTCAAAATGATTGTGGTTGAATTTCTAAAAACTGTATACTCAGTTTGATTTGTAATTTGGTCATTTTTCATCATTTTTATAGTGTTACCCCTTTTCGAATTTTGGGAAAATGGCTTCAGAAAAGTGTAAAAACTATGTAACCGACATCCGATTTCAAAGCATTCAAATTTGGGTTTAATTTACTCAGTTTGATTTGTATTTGGTCGATTTTCATCATTTTTATACGTTACCTTTTCAATTAAAAAGTTGCAAAACACTTCAAAATGATTGTGGTTGAATTCTCTAAAAACTGTATACTCAGTTTGATTTGTAATTGCGATTTTCATCATTTTTATAGTGTTACCCCTTTTCGAATTTTCGAAAAATGGCTTTGCAGAAAAGTGTCCAAAAACTGCACTTCTAAGCCCATAACTCTTGTTACCGACATTAGATTTCAAAGTGGCATACTTCAAAATGATTGTGGTTGAATTTTCTAAAAAACTGTATACTCAGTTTGATTTGTAATCGATTTTTCATCATTTTTATAGTTTTACGCCTTTTCGAATTCTGGAAAAATGGCTTGGCAGAAAAGTTTCCAAAAACTACACTTCTAAACCCAAAACTTTTGTTATCGACATTCGATTTCAAAGTGGCACACTTTAAAATGATTGTGGTTGAATTTTCTAAAAAACTGTATACTCAGTTTGATTTGTAATTTTGGGTCGATTTTTCATCATTTTATAGTGTTACCCTTTGAATTTTGGGAAAATGGCTTTGAGAAAGTGACAAAACTAAGCCATAACTAGTAACCGAATGATTCAAAGTGCAACTTCAAAATGATTGTGGTTTAATTTTAAAAGTATACTCAGTTATTGTAAGTTGGGTCGATTTTTCATCATTTTTATAGCGTTACCCTTTTCGAATTTTGGAAAAATGGCTTTGCAGAAAAGTGTCCAAAACTGCACTTCTAAGCCCATAACTTTTGTTACCGACATCCGATTTCAAAGTGGCATACTTCAAAATGATTGTGGTTGAATTCTCTAAAAAACTGTATACTCAGTTTGATTTGTAATTTTGGGTCGATTTTTCATCATTTTTATAGTGTTATCCCTTTTCGAATTTAGGAAAAATGGCTTTGCAGAAAAGTGTCCAAAAACTGCACTTCTAAGCCCATAACTTTTGTTACCGACATCCGATTTCAAAGTGGCATACTTCAAAATGATTGTGGTTTAATTCTCTAAAAAACTGTATACTCAGTTTGATTTGTAATTTTGGGTCGATTTTTCATCATTTTTATAGTGTTACCCCTTTTCGAATTTAGGAAAAATGGCTTTGCAGAAAAGTGTCCAAAAACTGCACTTCTAAGCCCATAACTTTTGTTACCGACATCCGATTTCAAAGTGGCATTCTTCAAAATAATTGTGGTTTAATTCTAAAAACTGTATACTCAGTTATTGTAATTTGGTATCATTTTTAGTTTATCCTTTCAATTTAGAAAATGCTTAAATAAAACAACTTATTACGACATGATTTAAAGGGTTCAAAAAAATCAAAAACTGTATACTCAGTTTGATTTGTAATTTGGTGATTTTATATTTATAGTGTAGAAAAATGGCTTTAGAAAAGTTCAAAATAACTTTTGTTACCGACATCCGATTTCAAAGTGGCATACTTCAAAATGATTGTGGTTGAATTCTCTAAAAACTGTATACTCAGTTTGATTTGTAATTTTGTGTCGACTTTTCATCATTTTTATAGTGTTATCCCTTTTCGAATTTTGGAAAAATGGCTTTGCAGAAAATGTCAAAACTCACTTCTAAGCTCATAACTTTTGTTACCGACATATGATTCAAGGTGCATACTTCAAAATGATTGTGGCTGAATTTTCAAAAACTGTATACTCAGTTTGATTTGTAATTTTGGGTCGATTTTTCATCATTTTTATAGTGTTACCCTTTTTGAATTTTGGGAAAATCGATTTGCAGAAAAGTGTCCAAAACTGCACTTTAAGCCCATAACTTTTATTACCGACATCCGATTTCAAAGTGGCATACTTCAAAATGATTGTGGTTTAATTTGCTAAAAACTGTATACTCAGTTTGATTTGTAATTTGGGTAGATTTTTCATCATTTTATAGTGTTACCCCTTTTCGAATTTAGGAAAAATGGCTTTTCAGAAAAGTGTCCAAAAACTGCACTTCTAAGCCCATAACTTTTGTTACCGACATCCGATTTCAAAGTGGCATACTTCAAAATGATTGTGGTTGAATTTTCTAAAAAACTGTATACTCAGTTTGATTTGTAATTTTGGGTCGATTTTTCATCATTTTTATAGTGTTACCCCTTTTCGAATTTTGGAAAAATGGCTTTGCAGAAAAGTGTCCAAAAACTGCACTTCTAAGCCAATAACTTTTGTTACCGACATCCGATTTCAAAGTGGCATACTTCAAAATGATTGTGGTTTAATTCTCTAAAAAACTGTATACTCAGTTTGATTTGTAATTTTGGGTCGACTTTCCATCATTTTTATAGTGTTACCCCTTTTCTTGGAAAATGGACAAACTCTTAGCCATAACTTAGTACGACTCGATTCAAGTCATACTAATGATTTGGTTTAATTTTAACTTATACTCAGTTTTTTAAGTTGGTGATTTTATATTTTTATAGCTTACGCTTTAATTTTGGAAAAATGACTTTGCAGAAAAGTGTCCAAAAACTACACTTTTAAGTCTATAACTTTTCTTACAGACATCGGATTTTAAAGTGGCGTTCTTCTAAATGATTGTGGTTGAATTCTCTAAAAACTGTATACTCAGTTTGATTTGTAATTTTGGGTCGATTTTCATCATTTTTATAGTGTTATCCCTTTTCGAATTTAGGAAAAATGGCTTTGCAGAAAAGTGTCCAAAAACTGCACTTCTAAGCCCATAACTTATATTACCGACATCCGATTTCAAAATACTTCAAAATGATTGTGGTTTAATTCTAAAAATTATACTCAGTTTATTGAATTGGGTCGATTTTCATCATTTTATAGTGTTACCCCTTTTCGAATTTAGGAAAAATGGCTTTCAGAAAAGTCCAAAAACTCTAGCCCATAACTTTTGTTACCGACATCCGATTTCAAAGTGGCATTCTTCAAAATGATTGTGGTTTAATTTCTAAAAACTGTATACTCAGTTTGATTTGTAATTTTGGTCGATTTTCATCATTTTTATAGCTTACCGCTCGAATTTTGGAAAAATGGCTTTGCAGAAAAGTGTCCAAAACTGCACTTCTAAGCCCATAACTTTTGTTACCGACATCCGATTTCAAAGTGGCATACTTCAAAATGATTGTGGTTGAATTCTCTAAAAACTGTATACTCAGTTTGATTTGTAATTTTGGGTCGACTTTTCATCATTTTTATAGTGTTATCCCTTTTCGAATTTTGGAAAATGGCTTTGCAGAAAAGTGTACAAAACTGCACTTCTAAGCTCATAACTTTGTTACCGACATATGATTTCAAGGTGGCATACTTCAAAATGATTGTGGCTAATTTTCTAAAACTGTATACTCAGTTTGATTTGTAATTTTGGGTCGATTTTTCATCATTTTTATAGTGTTACCCCTTTTCGAATTTAGGAAAAATGGCTTTGCAGAAAAGTGTCCAAAAACTGCACATCTAAGCCCATAACTCTTGTTACCGACATCCGATTTCAAAGTGGCATTCTTCAAAATAATTGTGGCTTAATTCTCTAAAAAACTGTATACTCAATTTGATTTGTAGTTTTGGGTCGATTTTTCATCATTTTTATAGTGTTACCTTTTTTCGAATTTAGGAAAAATGGCTTTGCAGAAAAGTGTCCAAAAACTGCACATCTAAGCCCATAACTCTTGTTACCGACATCCGATTTCAAAGTGGCATACTTATAAATGATTGTGGTTTAATTCTCTAAAAACTTATAATTAAAATAATACCATTAACCATTTCTATACATATTTAAGTGCATACTTAAATGATTGTGGTTTAATTCTCTAAAAATCTGTGTTTAAATCTTGGTTTTTATTTTTTGTTCGATTTTTCAGCATTTTAACAAAGTAACCCTTTACGAATTTTCGAAAAATGACACTGCAGAAATATTCCAAAAAACCACACTTCTCTATCCGCTAACTTTTCTGAAAGACGTCACATTTTGAAGTGGCATACATCTAATTAATTGTGGTTTAATTCTCTAAAAATCTTTGTTTTTATTTTTTGGTAGATTTTTCTTAATTTTAAAAAAAAAAAATGTCTTTGCAGAAAAGTGTGCGAAAACTGCACTTCTAAGCTTTTCTTACAGATTTCCAAGTGGCATTTGTCAAAAACGATTTTGGTTCTTCTGCAGGTATATCAAATCATATAGCTCCAATTGGAACAATAGAAAATTTTTTTTCTTTCTTGTTGATAGCCTGACTTTTATCAAAAATCTAATTTTAAACGTTCCCAAATGTATTAAACTAAATTATATATTTTTGCTTTCAACTTTAGATGTATCTAGTCCTTGTCGGATTAATTCCAACTTCATTTAGCCAAGTATGGTGTAATCAGGCCTTTGATATGTTTAAATCAAAGGATTCAAAATACGAAATGAAGAAAAGCTACACATTTACTGGCTTTATTAATTGGAAATCGTGAGCTTTACTTTAAAGTAACATCTAATGCTTAGTAATAATCCGAAATATGCGCTTTACGTGTCCTCAAACGAGGTCAAGTCCATTATATAAACATTTGATACTAGGCAGTCACCTTCCTGAAAAACCAGATTTAACAAAATTAAAAAACTGTTTAGGCTTATAACATTTAAATACGTACCCCCGGCGTAATGCCCACAAGTGCGTCGGCATGACCATAGAACTCTTCTTTTAAGGAGATAACAATGGTCTGCAAGTTGGTGGTGTGATCCCTTATGTATGAAGCGACCTTGCCAATATTCGTGTTGTCTAAGGCAGCATCGATCTCGTCAAGCACAAAAAACGGCGCTGGTTGATAGCTGAGTGAGAAAACAAATTATTTGTTCAGCTTTTTGATACTCTAAATTATATGTCTACCCTACCTGTGGGTGGAGAAGAGCAGGGCCAAGGCCGCGATTGTTTTCTCACCGCCACTTAAGTTGTTCATGGGCTGAAATCTTTTGCCGGGCGCCACACAATTGTAGTTTATACCGTCCAGGTACGGTTCTTCGGGATTATCGGGGCCGATGTAAGCCTGGGCCGCTTCATTGCGAGCCAATTTCTTGTAGATGCCATCAATGGCATCCGAAATGTGCTGACAGCAGGCGACGAAGCGAGAGGAGCGTTCGTTTTTTACCCTCTCGAATGCCGCCTTGGCCTTCTTGGCTTTTTTTCGCGCATTCTCGAACTCTTCGTTTGTGGACTGCACCTTCTCCGTGACAGCATCAAGTTTTTGCATAGCTTTCATGTTTGGCGTCTGTATGCGCTCCAGCACATCCAGTTTACTTTGCAGATCCTTATGCAAGATTTCATGGGTCTTTTTGAAATCGGAGTCACTTTTTAGTTTGGTATACTCTCGTGGTAGAGATCCGTAATCCACCTCAATACTAAGAGTGTATAAAAATATATTTTTTTTATCGGAAATATCTGGTATGAAGATTAGAGAACTTACAGATTATCTATTGCCGTGGAGGTAGAAGCGACGTCCGCATCGCTCTGTCGCACTGCATCGTCCAGCGAGCCGCGCAACAGAGGCACCACTATACAATCCGTCTATGTCGAAAAATAACATTAGTAAGCCATAAGTTTTAAGCGAAATAATCAAAACTTACTTTAGCTTGTAAAAGTATGTTCTGGCGATCGTTTTTCTTGGCCTCAATCTTTGACTCCACCGAAGACAAATGACTGCCCACGTTATGTATCTCCTTGGCAAGGTTAGCCACATCCCTTCGCGCTTTGGATATGTCCTCCTCCATGTCGTCCACGGTTTGCTTCTTGGACTGCTTCTCCTGCTTAAACTTTTCCATTTTCTCCTTGTCCTCCTCAATTTCCTTCAAATAACGTGCCTCAGCCGTTTTTAGTCCCTCCAGGGCATCTTCCTCATCCTGGACGCTGCGCTCCCAACGCTCAACGTTCTCTGCAAGCCAAGGCATTCAATTGGTTTAATTTTATATTATTTTAAAGTACTAACTTTTCGTGTCCTTTTGTTTCTCGAAGTCCAGCTGCGAGTTTATGGAATCTATCTGCTGCTCGAACTCTGCGCGTTTGCGAGCCCGCTCCTGCTGCATGACCAGCTCCCTCTCCTCATACTGGCGGATGTTCTTTACGCCCAAGCGTCGGCAGAAGGACGCGTATACTTTGTCCTCCACATTGTTCATGTTCTCCTTGATTTCCTGTATGTGCTCCTCGCGGTTCTGCATACGACGTTCGATCTCGTTGATCTTCGGCTGCAAATTGAATAAAGAGAAAATGATCATTAAATGTTTATGTATTCAATTTCAAATTAACTCACTCCGAAATCGTCCAGCTGGGTCTGCACTTGCTTTAATTGGTTGTCATACTGGCCAATTGACTTTTTGGAGGACTCTAAATCTACCATACTATATTTTAGTCGATTCTCCAGGCCCTTAATCTGCGACTCCACAGTTGCGAGCTCACTCTGTTTGCGCGACTTTTTCACAAGCTCCTTGAGCTCTTCTTGTAGACGCTCCTTCTGCATCTTTAGCTGAGCCATATGCTTCTCGTCCCAGCGCTTGGCTTTGCGCGCCAAATCGTGACTGCCTCCAGATATGAGACCCGACTTCTGGTAGAAAGTTCCGTCCAAAGCCAGAGCATCAAAACGCGATCGATCAATCTCGTAGGCCACCTTCATTGCGTCTTCTGGAGTTTCGCAGACTAAAGCGTTGCCCGTTGCGAAGAGGACGGCACGCTCGATCTCCTGCGGCTCAAATTTTAGCACATCAAAGACCAGTCTCACGTTGCGGGGATCGCTGATGTTACGAAGTCGCTCCTTTAGGGGCTTCACTTGCAGATAGTCCAAAGGTAGGAAGGTTTCCACCTCCAGCATTTGCTCCTTTAATATCTGTCGGGAAAAGATAATGATTGATGCACTCAATTCCGTGCTGACAGCTACCAAATCAAACAGAACCCACCTGAATACAATGGCGGGCCGTCTTCTCAGTGTCAACGATGATGGCTTCCATGAACTTGCCCAGCACTTTCGTGACAGCCACGTTGTAGCGCTTGTGCGTGGGCTGACACATATTGATCATGCGGTCGTACACACCTGGAACCTGCTTTTTGAACAGCTCCACCACCTCCTGCTTCTTTTTGCGCCGCGCATCCTCGTGTTTGTCGCTCTTGGCATCGCCCAGTTGGTCGCGCACGTTCTCCAGTTCACGTTGCTTTTCGGCAATCTTTTCCTTGGAGCTACCAACATCTCGCCGGAGCTCATCCTTGATGCGATTCTGCTCCTCCAGCGCCGCCTGCGAGGATTTAATGTGGTCCATCAGTTTGTCCCGACGCTTTACAGCTTCCTCGCGCTGCAGAGTGAGCTTCTTGAATGACTCCTCCACGGAGGCACGGCGATTGGTTTCGCCATCGAGCGTGTCCTGTTCAGACTTCTGCTCCCGGTTCACTGAGTCCAGCTCGGAACGGTACTGGGTGGCTGTGGCCTCCGCCTCTTGCTTTAGGCGATCGTACTCCTGCACGAGTCCCTCCTCCATGTTCACGCTCTTGCCACGGCGCTGCGATTCGTTTTCGATCTCGTCCTCGAAGCGCTTCTTGAGGGCCTCCACATCGGCTAGCTGCTTCTCAAGCTTTCGAATGTCAGACTGATGGGCATTGTCCGCCTCGCGGGCCGTCTCCAAGGTCTTCTGCAGCGAGACGAGCTTCTTTTTGCAGTGGGTAACCTTTTCCTTGGCTTTGATGTACAGAGGCCGGCGTTTGTTCATTTGGGTCTCAAACTCCCGTATTTCCTGATCGATTTTGGCCAGATCTCGGGTTATCTTCCCGGCGTCCTTCTTCTTCTCGCTCAAGATTTCATCGGCGGCTTTCTTTCGCTGCTCCACTGCTTTTACCTCCTGCTGTCTCACCTCCAAATCGCCAGTATATTTCCGGATGTCCCTTTCCACGTGGAAGAGTCTAAACAGTTGATACTCCACTTGTTTCTCGTTCTATAGGAAATAGGGTCATTCAAATTGTATAGAAATAGGATAGTAGCGTGGCATACATATTCGTTTTGCAGGCGAGTGTACCGATCGGCTTCCATTTTTTCGTGCTTGGCCTCCTTTCTTTCTGCCGCAATGCCCTTCTTCTTCTGGTAGGTGAACTGCGTCTCCTCCTCTGCCACAATCATTTCCTGCTTCAGGCGATTGTAGTCATCCTTGAGCAAGCCAGAGCTGACAATGTAAACAAAGGTTGGGTCATCAATTTTTTATAAAATTCATGATGGAAGTTACCCGCTGATTTCCTCAAACAAAGCCGTGCGTTCTTTGGGCGTCTTCATGGCTATGTTTTCCACAGCTCCTTGGAACACCAAAAAGTTTTTGGCCTTTACATTGATGCCAATCTTTTCCAGCTTGTTCAGGTAAGTGCTGCTCGAAACGCTCTAAAATGGGCATTAGATTAGTTGGGATGCTAGAGGTACTATAATCGCAAAATGAACCTCTCCGTTAATACGGTACTCCGAGGATCCGCTGATCACGGCCCTCTGGAAGTCCATGTTCCGCTCCTGGTTGAGCACGAACTTGGCCGTCACATAGCAGCTGCGCGAAATGGGCTTGCCAATAGAAGAACCGTGGATCAGATCATTCAGGCGCTTCACACGCAAACTGCTGGTCTTTTCTCCCATCACGAAGCTGATGGCGTCCATAAAGTTGGACTTTCCGGATCCGTTGGGCCCGATGACCGCATTAAATTGCTTTAGAGGACCCACAACTATGTGGCCGCGGTAGGACTTAAAGTTCTCCATCTCGATGTACTCCAAAAAGGCGGTCTCGTCGTCCGGCTTGCGGACTGGCGCCGCCGCCATCCGGTGGGCCACCTCATCGTCCTCGTCGGCCATTCGCGCGGTCAGTTGCCGAAAAATCCACGAGAAATAACAATAAGAGCGCGAAATGAAATTATTTTTTTCGCTAGAAAGTAACGCTAGAGATGATAGGGTGTGAGAGTTAAAATATCGATACCACAATATGATGCTACAATCGATTAGATTTATTAATATCGATTGATTATCTATTAATACCTGTTGGAAAATTATAGCAGTTTTTGTTTACAATAAATGTAAATAAAAATTAACTTATCTGGGATAATTAAACCCCAATTTAATTATCTTAGAGCATAGTCAAACATTTTTCGATTTCAAACCAAAATCAACAGAGTTTTTACTAATGTGGCTAGGTCATTCCTATGACTAGCAAAAATTATTTATGTATGTTTAAATAAAAATATTCATGATCTTTAAAAAATATGAATTTTAGCTCAATTTTGGCAATAGAATTATGGGATATATTTATAATATTAATGAAATGCTATTGGGCTAGCACTATACATTCATATGTAATATGCTTTTAAACAACAAAGTTACATATGCCAAAATTGAACCAATTTATCCTTTGGCAATTATACAGTTCTGCAAAAAATTGTTTTAAAAAGTCGCATGTCTAAAGCTTTAAAATAAAGAGAGAAATCCTATAAAAACAGAATATCGACAACGAAATCCAAATATATTGCATGCATATGTACATACCTACTTGTATACAGACGTCAATAAAGCAAATAAACAGAATCTAAAAATATGAATTGTTTAATGTATTAATAAGAAAATTTGCCAGAAATAGATTTGCAGACGAATTTATTTTTATGGGCCGAATTGAATGCTGACCTACGATACTGCAAATTATATCCCTAGATTGTTCCCGAACTTTCTACTCCTTTCATTTTCCATTTTCCCCTGCGAAGGGCACAGTGGTGGTCTCGCTCGCACTCACACAAAACGACTCGAATATTCTGCTCTCTTCTAGCAGGGAAATCTCGAATTTTCCCCTCATTGCTTTTGCGTATAAATAGCGTGCCAAATTTCCCAGCCGCCACATTTGAAATCAAGCAGCCAAAGTATAAGCACTCCAAGCAAGAGGAAAAAGATCTAAAGTGACAGTTAAAAATTTTATTAGAAGTGAATAGAAAGCTATATTAAAAGTGTGAATCAAATTAAATTTATTAGAAGTTAAGAGAAGCGTATCAACGGCCAATCTTTAATTTAAAAGCAATACAACAGCAAAGATGCCAGCCATTGGAATCGATCTGGGCACCACTTACTCCTGTGTGGGTGTCTTCCAGCACGGCAAGGTGGAGATCATAGCCAACGACCAGGGCAACCGCACCACACCATCGTACGTGGCTTTCACGGACTCGGAGCGCCTGATTGGAGATGCCGCCAAGAACCAGGTGGCCATGAACCCGAGGAACTCGGTGTTCGACGCCAAGCGGCTGATTGGACGCCGCTTTGACGACCCTAAAATCCAGGAGGACATGAAGCACTGGCCTTTCCGCGTCGCCAACGACAACGGCAAGCCCAAGATGAGCGTCGAATTTAAGGGCGAGGAGAAGTGTTTCGCCCCGGAGGAGATCAGCTCTATGGTGCTTACAAAGATGAAGGAGACGGCCGAGGCCTACCTAGGAAACCCGGTCAGGGACGCAGTCATCACAGTGCCCGCCTACTTCAACGACTCCCAGCGCCAGGCCACCAAGGATGCTGGTGCCATCGCCGGTCTGAATGTGCTCCGCATCATCAACGAGCCCACTGCCGCAGCATTGGCCTATGGGCTGGACAAGAATCTTAAGGGGGAGCGCAACGTGCTTATCTTTGACCTGGGCGGCGGAACCTTTGACGTCTCCATCCTGACCATTGACGAGGGTTCCCTGTTCGAGGTGCGCTCAACGGCCGGAGACACCCATCTGGGTGGCGAAGACTTTGATAACCGTCTGGTCAACCACCTGGCCGAGGAGTTCAAGCGCAAGTACAAGAAGGACCTGCGTTCCAACCCGCGCGCTCTTCGTCGTCTCCGCACGGCGGCTGAACGAGCCAAGCGCACCCTATCGTCTAGCACTGAGGCTTCTCTCGAGATTGACGCCCTGTTCGAAGGACACGACTTCTATTCCAAGGTGAGTCGCGCCAGATTCGAGGAACTGTGCGGCGATCTCTTCCGCAACACGCTGGAACCCGTGGAGAAGGCCTTGAAAGACGCTAAGATGGACAAAAGCCAGATCCACGATATAGTCCTGGTCGGAGGCTCGACGCGCATTCCCAAGGTGCAGAACCTGCTCCAGAGCTTCTTCGGCGGCAAGAGCCTAAATTTGTCCATCAATCCGGACGAGGCGGTGGCCTACGGAGCTGCAATTCAGGCAGCTATTCTGTCGGGTGACGAGAGCAGCCAGATCAAAGACGTGCTGCTGGTGGACGTCGCTCCCCTTTCGCTCGGAATCGAGACCGCTGGCGGAGTGATGACCAAGCTGATCGAGCGTAACAGCCGCATACCGTGCAAGCAGTCCAAGACTTTCACCACGTACGCTGACAACCAACCGGCGGTAACCATCCAAGTATTTGAGGGCGAGCGTGCTTTGACCAAGGACAACAACGTGTTGGGCAACTTCAACCTGACGGGAATTCCACCCGCTCCCAGGGGAGTGCCGAAGATCGACGTCACCTTCGACCTTGACGCTAATGGTATTCTGAATGTGACCGCCAAGGAACAGGGCACTGGCAACGCCAAGAACATCACCATCAAAAACGACAAGGGTCGTCTCTCGCAGGCGGATATAGATCGCATGCTAAGTGAGGCTGAGAAGTACGCTGAGGAGGACGAGCGGCACCGTCAGCGGATTGCCGCCCGCAATCAACTGGAGAGCTACGTGTTCGGTGTAAAGGAAGCGGCCGAACAAGGAGGCGATCGCATCAGTTCGGCGGACAAGAGTAGTGTCCTGGAGCGGTGCAGTGAGACGGTGAAATGGCTGGACAGCAACACCACAGCCGAGAAGGAGGAATTCGAGCACAAGCTAAAGGAGCTGACCCAGTTCTGCAGCCCCATCATGACCAAGATGCACCAGCAGGGAGCTGGGGACGGACAGGCCCGGAATTGTGGACAACAGGCGGGCGGCTTCAAGGGCCCCACCGTCGAGGAAGTCGACTAAGTAACCCAGTTATCAAACTAGAAAGCCGCTTATGTAGATCTCATAACCAAAAGTCCTCCTGGCCAGATACTAAGATTATTTTAGTTTCCGTATGCTACTAAGTTGTATTTAATAAATATTATTTATGATTTGCCAAAACCTATACGATGTGTTTACTTTAGATGAGCTTTTACCTTTAAGAAATGAGAAAACAAATAATAATATGCCAATTATATTTCATATATATAATTTACTTGGGAAGACCCTCTCTTTTGGCCCAATCTAGCCAGGATCCCTCGTAATTCTTTACGTTTCTGAAACCCAAGGCAGTGGCGGCTTCTGCGGCTTTGAGACTCCTCTTGCCGATCTTGCAGTGGAATATAATTTCCGTATCCGCCTTAGGCTTCTCCCTACCGTATTTCGACTTGAATAGCTGCTCACTGGCGGCCAATTCCTGGCTTACCACACCCAGCGGAATGTTGATGCTGGCGGGGATTTGTCCGGTCTCCTTAAGCTCCTCCGGCTCCCTGACATCGATCAGGAGCTTCTCTGGCTCGCTGTGCAACTTCTTTACCACGTCGTAGTCCACGATTCCAATGGCAGGTGCTTTGCTGCTGTGAAAACGGTGCAGGAAATTGTTCTGCGGATTCCTGGTAATATTCATCGAGGTCTGGGATCTGGCGGCCCTTAATGCCATCATGCAATGTCGCATCAGCATTTTAAGTTGATTATAAAATACTTAAATCCACAACAAATATATTGTATCAGTTATTATGTAAAATCTCAAGTAATAACAACAAATTAATGCCGGCTCTCAGCTGTTCATACCAATTCACCATACGTGAGGTGAATTTAACTAAAAGGTGAATTCCGATTTGGCGCCGTCTTTGAAATTACTTATGTTAGTTGTGTAATAAGGAGAAATAGAGATGCGGTATGAAGTACAGCTACATTCATTAAATTTTAGGTCGAATTTTCGTGACAATGAAAGTTCTTTAAAAATAACCGATTTAAATGTTAATGAAATGAGATCTTACATTTTAAGGAGATATTTTTCCATTTTGTTTATTACCGGAAATGAATATGGTGACTATATAAAATATATATATTAAAAAACCAAAGAGCTTTCCAACAACGACGTCGATTGTTTGAAATCGGTAACGTGCAAGAACTTTTCGTATCCAGATTGAAATTTAGGGCACCAAAACTTTTAGAAAATTAATCCTTCATTAATGTAGGTTTTTTTCAGGGGAAATAGGGTTCAAACTCTAACTATTAAAGCATTTCCAGCACTACACGGAATGGCGCCAATTTCAAAAATTTTGTATTGATTACCCTAATGCCGGCTGACGCAGATGCTCGGTTCGCAATCAAATCTGTTGCCAGGCCGCCTAACCAACACTCGCGGAATTCGTGAAGTGTGTGTGTGTCAAGGCCTGGGACCAAATCACCCGTCACCGCCTGATAAGTTCAACGACAAGATTCCCGTTCCCATCCGCTGGGCTTGATTGAATCAATTAAACGGAATGGTTTGCGATCCCGGATTCGGTGCTCAAGTAAACATTGGGTGGGGTAAGGCATAGACGACTGGGCATCTCGCCACCGCCAGCGGCACGCGCTCGTCTAGCCAGAATGGATTTGGTTCAGGTTCAGGTTCACAGATAGCCCGGTGGCTCGATTGACATCCGGAAAAGAAGACAATTGTGGTCCCCCGGAGGGTTATTCGGCCCGATAAGCTTGCCACAGACGTAGTCTTCTTGGGTTTTCAACGACTGGGGGTTCAACGACTGCTGATCGGGCTGGTAACGCTTATCAAAACGTCGTCTGATAACGCCTAGCCCACCTCAACAATCGGTGTTCTACTTAAGAAGCGCGTGCCGGAATGAGTTAATTGACGTGCCGTTGTTGTTCTCAAAGATATTTCGACGTTTTATTGTATAAAATATAGCTTAAGACTACAGAAATGGCAACAATACACAGTGTTAGCTTCGCAGGATGTTCACAAAATACATTTGCCTAGGACACGAGCGTCTAATGCTAATACAACGAGTGATGTGAACAGACGGGTGACAGGACTTTGCACTGATTCGGTACAGGATTCGGGATATTCCTTTCATTTGGTGCCCGCAATGTGGCCGAGCGACTCGCCCACTCGGATCTTCTGGCCGGCGACAATGTCGAACTTGAAGTTTTTGGGCGCCTCGAAGAGCAGGACAATGGTGCTGCCCATGTTGAACTGACCCACCAGGTCACCCTTACCAAACTCTTTGGGCGGTCCAGTGGGTTCTTTGTCCAGGGCCAGTTCATCATACTCGTAGGTGCTGGGCGGATGCTTGCCGACATTGAAGCCAGTCCAACGGTTCGTCTTCAGCTCGGCATCCATGTAGATTTCGACGGATCCCACGTTCGTGGCACCTACGGCGGTGTAGGAGAAGAAACCATGCTTCCACTGGCCCATGTACAGGACACGTTCGTTAAGGCAGAATAGACCAGGCAGCCAGCCAGCTACTTTTGGGCTTACAGACAGCAGTTCGCCGGAGAAATGACGACGGATAGTGGGCGTCCAGGCGGCGGGTGAGTGGAATCTGTGGTAATCTCCGGGGGCAAGGTATATCACGCACTGGTACAGCTCCGTGGAGCCATCGTTTTGCTTCTTTAGTGCCTGCGCGTAGGAGGCGCCGGAATTGGCCTGCTCCAGAGTCTGCAGCGGGCCAAGGAAGTCTTCGATGCTGTAGTTTACTCCCTTGACCTGCTCGATCAGCGAGTCCGAGGCGCTGCCAAAGTGCAGAACCTTGCCGTCGGCGGGGGAGACCAGTGGAGCTTCCTGATTGATGGTGCGCACACCTTCTCTCAGTGGCCTGGTGAAGAACTCGGCCAGGCTGTTGTAGTGCTCGTACTCCGGATACTGGGCCTCGCTCAGATTGACGTTGAACGTGTTGGAATACCAGCCGTAGACATAGGGTCGCAGACTGGGTGGTAAGTAGCAAGCGGCCAGCCAGCCCCAGCAGCGGCTGAGGATACGCAGCGGCAAAGAGCAGTAAATGCGCGACTGCAACTCAGAGGCTGTCCTGGGCTGACCATCCCGCTCGCAGCGCTGCTTCTGCAGCTGCCATTCGATGGCGCCAAAGACGCATATGCCCATGGGCGCCCAGCGCAGCAGGAAGCCCGTCCAGCGTGATAGGATATTGCGCCGGAGCTGGGCCAACTCCTGGCTGGGATTGGGCTGCTGTTTTTGGTGCGGACGCCGGTGGTGGAGTGGTGCCTCCTTGGAGGCGGGATTCGAGGAGAATTGCCGGAAGTGACGCACCACCGGGAGGCTGCCGTTCTGAGGCTGCGGCTGGGGTCCTTTGATCGGCTGTAACTGTAACTGGGCCGGCTGGTGCTGTTGCTGCACCACCTGTCTGAGATTGCCGGCCTTCAGCAGGAAGCGGCCACGAGGTACGAAATAGGAAACCATTGTTGCTCTTGCTATTGATAAACCGCAGCCCCCGCCACGCTAATCACGTAATCACGTACGTATGCCCAGATAAAAATGGCACGATGTGGAACTGGTCTCGGCTTCTGTTTTTGTTTTTTTAATCTGGCGCGTTTAATTCGTCTGGCTTTTAAGTGACTGGGCGGCGCAAACCCGCAAATCTAAAAATCCGGCAAGGGCCTGGGAACAGATGCAAAACAACAACACTATCATGCGGTTGGGGGGATTCTGGTTCGGGCGGCACTTGTTTCGGAATTCAAATGTTCGGGGGAAGATTTCTGGACGTTTTAATTGTGGCTTCCGTATCGCTGTGCTGCCTGCAAGAGACTGAAAGTTTTCCATGGGTTGTCGGAACCGAAGAGCCTACAATGTGACCACTGCCAGTGCTGCCGGCTGACGAATTTAGCATTTAAAAGCTAGTTTGTAAATGTTAAAATCTGGGCTGCCCAATTGATGGAATATTTAAATCTACATATAATAACATAATTATCACAAAAACAAAGTTTCCCTAGTAATAGCTTTGGTGCTTAAAAATTGGTTTTTGTCTTGAGGGCAAACCTTTATCAGTTTCTCTACTCTTTTATTTATATTTTATGTTTTTTATTATTTTTTCTTGCAAATTCTTTGCTTATCATCGCTGTGGCGTACGACAATAGATTGCAGAGTCAATGTCCTTAACCTTTAATTCTTTGACTATATGTGGGGTACTAAATACGTCATTTCACATATTCAAAGTGCAAATATAATTCAATTGACGTAATTTTTTAAAAACTAGTTTGCTTTAAGTTATGTATGTATGTTTAATAACAAATTAGGAGAGAATGTATGCCAATTCGGTATGTATTTTCTCACTGAAATGGAAAATATAACTGTTAAGGTTTGTATTACTTTTTACTGGCGGTATGCAATACTTTTTTAATTAATTTTAATATTTTCCTAGTAACTCAATACTTTCTGTCCGTAAAAAATAAGGCTCAAGATGTTTTAATTAAATTAAAATGTCTAAATGTTTTAATACATTTGAATTTCTTGGTCGTCCGCATATTTTAATTAAGAGTAGCTTTAAAAAAGATAGATTTGACTTGCGTCGCCAAAATAGTTTGTCAGCACTGGCGACGGCACTGCGTCTAATGTTCTGTTGCTCACCAAAACAAACAAAAAGCGAAACCGCTCAAGTTCTCTCTTATCAGCGGGAATAGTGGTCAAGGCCTAAGCTCCGCGGCGTGCTTTAGCTTCTTCCGCGGACACAATTGGGCAATGTTTTTGTTTAAAACTGGTTTTTTTCTTTTTTCTTTCTTTTTTAATGCTTGTTGTTGGTTGACAATTTGCTTTCCGAATAACTGCGCCATTTTTCGACACTCTTTTTGGGAGGAGTGGCAACTCTGGCAGCAGCAGAAAACAGCTGATGAATTATTTGTTTTTTTCTCACTCGGTGGAAAATTTAATTGTTTGCACAAATTGAAGGACAAAAACTATCTACCATGAGCGAGGCGGAGAAACAGGCGGTGTCCTTCGCCTGCCAACGCTGCTTACAGCCCATCCTCCTGGACGAGCAGCTGGACAAGATCAGCGTGCACGCCATGGCGGAGTTATCGCGTATGAAATGGTAAAATGATGTGGAAAACTGACTTATGATTCTCTATTTGAAGTGCCCATATACGGGGACAATGGAAACACTTTGGACCCACAGGACGCCAGCAGTTTCGACCACTTTGTGCCGCCCTACAGGCTCACAGACTCAATCAATGGCACGGGATTTATGCTGGTATCCGATGGCCGAGACAACAAGAAAATGAGTGTTGCCTTTAAGCTAAAAGCGGAGCTATTCGACTGCCTATCCTCCAACTCTGAGATTGATCATCCGCTGTGCGAGGAGTGCGCCGACTCCATGTTGGAGATCATGGACCGGGAGCTGCGAATTGCCGAGGACGAGTGGGATGTGTACAAGGCGTATCTGGACGAGCTGGAGCAGCAACGTGAGGCGCCTAATGTGGAGGCCTTGGACAAGGAGTTGGACGAACTGAAGCGCAGCGAGCAGCAGCTTTTGACCGAGCTGGCGCAGCTCAAAGAGGAAGAGCAATCGCTTAACGCGGCCATTGGCCAGGAGGAAGTGGAGCGGGAGGAGCTTCACGAGCAGGAGGAGAGCTACTGGCGCGAATATACCAAACACCGGCGTGAGCTGATGTTAACCGAGGATGACAAGCGTAGTCTGGAAAGCCAGATTGCCTACTCCCGACAGCAGCTGGACAAACTGCGAGATACCAACATCTTTAACATCACTTTTCACATCTGGCACGCCGGGCATTTCGGTACCATCAATAACTTTAGGCTGGGCAGGCTGCCCTCTGTTTCCGTGGATTGGTCGGAGATAAACGCGGCCTGGGGCCAGACCGTGCTCCTGCTCTCAGCCCTGGCCCGCAAGATCGGGCTTACCTTTGAGCGGTATCGCGTGGTGCCCTTTGGCAATCATTCGTACGTAGAAGTGCTCGGCGAGAACCGGGAGCTGCCGCTCTACGGCAGCGGCGGATTCAAGTTCTTTTGGGACACTAAGTTTGATGCTGCAATGGTAGCTTTCCTTGACTGCCTTACCCAATTCCAAAAAGAGGTGGAGAAGCGCGATACAGAGTTCCTGCTGCCCTACAAGATGGAGAAGGGCAAGATCATCGATCCCTCCACTGGCAATTCTTATTCTATTAAGTGGGTTTTAAAATTTATAAGATTTTGCTAATATTCATAACCGATTTTTTGCAGGATCCAGTTCAACTCTGAGGAGCAGTGGACGAAAGCCCTGAAGTTTATGCTGACAAATCTGAAATGGGGATTAGCCTGGGTTTCGTCTCAGTTTGTGTCGCCGTGATGTTTTTGGTCATATAAATGTTTATTTATATAATTACTTATTAATCCTTTAGTGCTTACTATTAAATCAAGATCTTTCGAAATTGAATTAGTGTCGAATCAGTTTATTCCGAATATTCCCATAAATATTCGGCCTGCATATACGTTGTAGATTATTGACGTTTTTTTAAAATTATTTTGTAAGTTTAGTAAATGTAGTGGCAAAGACCAATTAAATTGGAGTTCAAAAAGATAAGGTAAACACAGTCTGTGCTACTTAATTGTAAGCCTTATTTTCTAATTTTGAATGGCCTTTTTCTTCACCTCAAGTTCCTCTTCGCTAGTCTCAGAGTCTGAGTCGGATCCTGAGATGTCATCGCCTATCCAGAGAGTCCCCTTTTTCTTCTTTTTGGCCTTAGTCTTGTCCTCGGCAGGTGATTTCCTCTTGGTACCACTAGTGGATGCCTCCTGGGCTAGCGCTTCCTTCTCCTTGGTCTCCTCCGCCTGCTTAAGACCCTCCTCGAATGCGTCGTTTACCTTCTCAGTGAGATTGGCCCTGGCTTCCTCGTACTTGTCGTCTTTAAAGTCGTGCTTTGGCACAGCCAACAGTTTCTCGATTTTTCGCTTCTTCCGCTCCTCCGCCTCCCGTTCCCGCTCCCCCTGCTTGTCCAGCCAGGCGCGCACCCGCTTCTCTTCGTTGATGTCCCTTAGACGACGGCCACTCAGATCCCGGCAAGCTTCGCGATTTGTGGTCTTCTCGATTTGGGCGCCAATGGCTCGCAGCATGGATCCGAATCCTCCCTTGCCGCCCAGCTGGCGCAGGATGCAGTGGACATCACCATGAGGGAGTTCTCCAGACAATCGTTTGCCATTTTCTACCAAATAATAATCTTCATGTTGCAAGTTCTGGAAAATTAACACTCCATCAGGCAAACCTTTGAAAGTCAACACAATATTATACTTACTGCTTTCTTCTCAATCTGGTTACATAGCTCATCATAATTAACGGGACTCGCACAACTTATAAAAGGTTGGTTGTTTATAAAAATATTGATGTCCATTTCGACGTTCTCCCTTTTCGATAGCGATTGTAATTGTTATTCCTCTTTGTTCTGTATTTACTGCCGAGTCGCGTGTGTTAGAAAGAGAAAGCGGTGATGCAAGCGTTATCGATGGCCCTAGGGCTGCCACCTTTTCGATTATTTTGTGTTAAAATAATTAAATCTGTAAATTAAGAATTGATCTTGGCTAATAATCCATTGAAACACCTTATTATATCCTCAGGTAAAATTATTTCAAAACCTTCGGACGAATTTCCTTAGTTTTCATTAAATTTCCCAGATTGCCGCCATTGCGTTTTTATTTTCCAGCTAGTTGGCAGCTCTGGTTCTCGCACACAAAAATCTCATTAATTAGTTCGCATTTTGGACGACGAAGGTAAAATTTTAGCGACGCGTTTAACGTACATTTGCACCACTAAAAAACAGCGAAAGTTGTGCAAATTGAATATAAACCGGTAGCGGCTAAACCTATTCGATGAGTGAAGTTTTCGAAACGAGTGCTGATCAAGTAAAATGCGGTAAATTTACAACCGCAGCCACGTCACAGAGAGCGCATTAACAAAAGAGAGTGCGGATTTTGGCAGCGAAATCCGAATCTGAACAATGGGAAGAATAAAATATTGCACTATCGCGCGGCGACAAAAGTTAAACCCAGTTTTCGGCATCGGGGCGGGGGCGTGGCGGCTGAGGGAGGCGGGGGAGCGGCATTAAAAGATGGCAGCACAAAAGCGAACAAGATATGTACATACATATGTACATACATGTAGCGGCAAGCTAAGCAGGCAAATGAAAAGTCCCGCATTCAAAAGGCCTTGGTATTGGTATATTGGCATTAGTTTAAATACACTCAATAACCAAAACCGAAAAATTTGCAAAAGCAAAAGAAAAGTGGCGACTCATGTGAGCAAAACGCAAACAAAAAGACCAGCGCAAGACGCCTCTCTGCGCGTGTGTGTGTGTGCGAAAAGAGACGAAGAAAATAAGAAGCAAATGAGCAACAAAAACCACCCCGCCATTCCCTTTTCGCCGTCTCTTCATTTATGTGACTTTGACTGACATTTTCTAGCGCCGCCGCCGCCGCAGAAATAATCAAAATCAAGTTTAGTGCTATGCAAATTAAAATTTGATTTCGCAAAGAGTAAAAAACAAATCTAATGCAACCGTGTGTGCGCCCGCCGGTTTCGCAAATTTCCCTCCTCCGCTCTTTTCTCCCTGTTTTCTTTCTCTTCATTTTGTTATCGACGGTCATTCATCTTCTAGTCGATTTTCGTTTTTCTTTTTCACCCTCTTTTCATTGCTGCCCTGTAGTGTGTGTGATTTGTGCGTGAGTGGCCCAAAAAGAATTCGGCTAAAGTGCACAGAATAAAGAAGAAATTTAATAATTACAAACTAAATCATTTTGCCAGGCCCGCAAATTCGTTGCGAATGAATGGCTATTGTCAATTGGTAGCCATTCGCTTTGTTATAAAAGCAGGCAATCTCTTTTCCTCTCCCACCCTCTCTCTCTAGCTGTCTTTCTGTGTGTGCGGGAGCATGCGTCTTTGTGTGCGTGTCCCTGCACTGCTTTGCCGCCTTCTTTGTTCCCCTCATGCGAAAGGGGCGGGGCGGGGTAGTCGATTTATATCCATACATATCATTTGCCTGGCTAAAGCCCACCGATCATGTGCTGTTAGACCTTGTCCCACTCTTCCGGTTATCAGCCCTCAACTAACCCAAATTCTCTCTCTCTCTCTCACCTTTTTTGCAGCAGCAGTAGCAGCGATTCCAGGGGTCAGCTTCGAAACCCAAAAACAACACTTAACCTGCGAACTTTCACACTGTTCAACATAGCCAACTAATTTTTGTACAAGAACAAGCAGCCGAAACCAAGTATTCATATATACATTTATACAATCCTGTATATTGGACCGGACTATTTATAAAAAAAACCCCTGAAATAATCGAAGGATCGAGCGGTTTAACAGTACCAGTACCGTACTATCCCCAAGGAACCCCGTATCCAAATCCGAATCCCAGGCCCCCAAGAAGTGGAGTTGCCCGATCATATACACATTGCGACAAATCGTATATTCCAAAACACTCCATTAGCGTTTAGTTAGGACAGATATATTTATACATATACATATAGATGTTTAACAAAATTTTCAATTAGGCGCCAGATTAGGAACGAAGAAAAGCAATAAACGACGAACCTCAACGTTAAGCATAGAGATCTACCTACCTAGATACAGCATATATAGTTTATAATATCCCAAAACGAAAACAAATACAAATCCAGCCCAGCCAAGACGAGAGTGAGTTGAAAAGTAGTAGAATATCAATGTATTCAAATTTCTAGCTGAGTTCTCTGTTATCAGCTAGCACCTTTTAGATCACCGCAAAGACACCTGTTTATTCAGCAGATACTTAGATTTTGTACGTAGCTAGGAACATCAGTAAATTTTTGATACTATCCCTTCCGATTGATGCGGCCAGTTGCAGTTGTAATCCCGGTCCGAGTGTAGATTGTCGCAGTAGCCAAGTATAGATCCCGATCGAAGCCACAGATCCAGGTAATCCGCCAACAATGGACGAGTCGCAGCCCAAGACCCTCTACGTGGGCAACCTGGACAGCTCCGTGTCCGAAGACCTGCTCATCGCCCTCTTCAGCACCATGGGCCCCGTCAAGAGCTGCAAGATCATCCGGGAGCCAGGCAACGATCCGTATGCCTTCATCGAATATTCCAACTATCAGGCAGCCACTACAGCCCTGACCGCTATGAATAAACGTCTCTTCCTCGAAAAGGAAATCAAGGTAAGCTAACCACCAGCCCTTTAAGTTTCCCAATTTTATTCAAATTAATTCACTATATCCAAATGCCAAATGTATGCAAATTGATTTGAAAATCTGTCACATTTTTTTTTCAAGCCTTGAAATATAATTTTTTACATTCAGCAATATTAAATTAAGTATTAATTTCTTAAAGGATTCCGTTTATATTCGTACCGAATTAAATCTTTATAAATCTAAGTTTTTTGTTTTATAATTTTTCTATATTTTGTTTCCTTTATAAATTGTTTTTATTAAAGTTAACATTAATTGATTAGCACATATTAACCGATTGTATTCCTTATTCTTAGGTAAACTGGGCCACCAGTCCCGGCAATCAGCCCAAAACAGATATCAGCTCGCACCACCACATATTTGTGGGCGACCTCAGTCCCGAGATTGAGACAGAGACGCTGCGCGAGGCGTTCGCCCCCTTTGGAGAGATCTCCAACTGTCGGATCGTGCGCGACCCGCATACCATGAAGTCCAAGGGTTACGCCTTTGTGTCATTCGTGAAGAAGGCGGAGGCGGAGAACGCCATCCAGGCGATGAACGGCCAGTGGATTGGTTCGCGGTCGATACGCACCAACTGGTCCACGCGCAAGCTTCCCCCTCCGCGCGAGCCGTCGAAGGGTGGTGGCCAGGGCGGCGGCATGGGCGGCGGACCAGGCAACGGGTCCGGCATAAAGGGCAGCCAACGGCACACCTTCGAGGAGGTGTACAACCAGTCGAGCCCCACCAACACCACCGTCTACTGCGGCGGCTTCCCGCCGAATGTAATAAGCGACGACCTGATGCACAAGCACTTCGTCCAATTTGGTCCCATCCAGGACGTGCGGGTCTTTAAGGACAAGGGCTTCTCGTTTATTAAGTTTGTAACGAAGGAGGCAGCAGCCCGCGCCATCGAGCACACGCACAACAGCGAGGTTCACGGCAACCTGGTCAAGTGCTTCTGGGGCAAGGAGAACGGCGGCGACAACTCTGCCAATAACCTCAATGCCGCAGCCGCAGCGGCAGCAGCCTCGGCCAATGTTGCAGCCGTGGCAGCGGCAAATGCGGCGGTCGCCGCTGGAGCAGGAATGCCCGGCCAAATGATGACGCAGCAACAGATTGCCGCCGCTACTGGAGCGGCGATACCCGGACAAATCATGACGCCCCAGCAGATGGCAGCAGCGCAGTACCCGTACGCCTACCAGCAGATGGGCTACTGGTATCCCCCAGCGGTGAGTTATGATTTTATGAGAAAATCAAAAACTAACCCAAAGATTTTTACTACAATTTAACTGCTTTTAAAATTTGTCGCCAACTTATATATCTCGTTATGTTTCAGGCTTATCCCACGACCCAAATGCAGACGCAGTACATGCAGCAGGGCTACTACCCCTACGCCTACACCACCAGTGCTCAGCAAGCGGGAGGTGTTCGTACGTACCTCTTTCTTTCTCCCAATTTGGGTTTTGTTTCATGAATAATTTTACCACTTTTAGCTGCCGGATACCGCATGGTGCCGCCGAATGTGGCATGGGGCGTGCCCGGAACTGTGGTGCCCGGCGTAACGGCCGCCGCAGCCTCCGCGGCCGCAGCAGCGAACGGTTCACTTGCCCCCCAAATGATGTACAGTGCTGCGATGCCACAATACCAGACCCAATGAGCTGAGATGTGACGCCAGCTTCGACGCCGTCTGCAGCATCCGGGCAGTCGCCCCCAGCCGCAGCCACAACCACCCATGCTGCCCCAGCTGACGCATCTGCAGCAGCTGCAAGCGCATTACGCACGTTTAGGTTACGTACAATACCGAGTAGTCCCAGCCAAGGCGGAACCACTCCTGGCCCTGCCGGTCAGCAGCAGCAGCAACATCGACGGCGGCGAGGCAGCGGGAGATTAGAGAGGCCAACGAATGTCTAGTTTGGAGTTGTGGCTACGGTTGCGGCTGATTGCGATGGGCGAAAGCGGATTCGATGGAGGGATGGTCATTCTTTCAACCCCTCCAGTCAAAGGTCGAGGCGGTGCGTGGAACTCAACTTCAAGTGAACCACGTGGGCGGCAACTGAAACAACATCAACTGAAAAGCTCCGGGCGATGGGCGGGTAGCTGTAACAATCTAATCCAATCTAAGTACGTGTTAAAATAATTTAATGATTTGTAATTTAAGCAGATATAGGCGTATAAAACGAAACGGAAACAAAATAAACCGAATGAGAAATTCAACAAAAACAAACCGAACAGAGAAAAGGCAAATTACGCGCGACAACAGAGCAGAAAATAAAAAAAAACACAACCGAAACAAAAACGTGACAAAGCGAATTGTAATTGTAACTATGTGGAACATGTGTCAACGAAAATTGAAGACGGAGGCGTCAGTAGGATCAAAGGAAAGCCACAAGCAAGCCGAACGCAAAAAAAAGAGGAAAAACAAATTTAGACACTAAGAGAATGTAAATTCGAGCATACATATTGTATATTTCCAATGAGGAAAACGAAATGCGATATAAATATGTAAAATGTAAAATAAAGAAACAAAAAAATATATAAAACAAGTGAGAAAACAAACGGATGGTGTTTTTTAATAAGGATAAATAATAAAAAAGAAAAATTATTCCATATTTGCCCATGAAAGCTTTCGAATGCAGTTTCCCTAAACATTTACAGAAACTTAGAAACATACGTTCATATGGAAACGGTTTGTTTACCAATCTTTAAATTTAAATTTGTATTTTAGCATCCATCTTAGTCATGATGACGATAAACTAAATTCACTTCTATTGCTTGTGCTTGTAATATTCAGAAGAATTTGGGCTCCTTATTTACCCCAATCTCATGTCTGTCATCCTGCTGCTCTCGTTTAACAGACTGTCAAATCTGGTGAGCAGGTGATGTGGAACACCACCAGTTGCCCGTTTTTTACTTGGAATGATCCCAGCACGTGTTGGCACAGTCACAGGCACTTCTCCAGGTTGTCCTCATAGATGAAGAATTAGTATTTGTTTAGAATTGTAAAATGGAAATGGTTGTGACATTATTGATTATGTTATCCGAATAGATTTCAAAGATAAAAACAGATTCTGCTCGCTTACTACATTCTGACGGATGAATATGATTGGGAGCCAACAACAGATCGTTTCTAACATGCTCCAAACATGTGAATTTATTCTCGCCTGGCTAATAAAAAATAAATGTGTCGACTGCATTAAAAAATGTTGCTAATATTTCAAAACATGCTATTAATAGATTTCTTCAATATACAAAATTCAAAGTTTTATCATCTTTTCTCTGATGAAGCGGAATTTAAATACAAAACTAGTTTTCGTGAATGCTTACTTTTCAATGGACTTTCGCTTATTTAAAATGCACCAAGTGATGTCAGCTGCTTATTTCCAGTTACAGTTTAATTAAAAATGCATAAGCACTACCAATGCTTTCCAATATCATAATTTGCACCTTTAAGTTAGCTGATAAAGATGCAATTAATGTTTGTTTAAATCGATTTTATTTAGCGTAATCTATAGATTTATTTTTATATATATATATTTTTATTTGCATGTAGTTTTGATCTGTGTTTAGTAATTAGTCATCGAACATAAATTCCGGGTGGGCGAGCTGCGTAGAAGCTGGTTCAAAGTACCGCGATAAGCGACGAGCGTGTGTGTGGGTGGTAGATGTATCTGATCGATCTGATAACACCAGATCCATACGCAACTGCTAGGTACAACATTTTGAGAGAGTTACTAATAATATAGGTGATTCGGAGACGATTGTATTTATGGCCGTAGGTACATAGATTGAAACAAAGGAACTAAACTAGACTAACGATACAGATAGTGATAACTATTAAAATCCAACTCTGCACTGGTAAATGTATTTTTGTGGGTTTGTATAAGTATATCTCTTTCTTCATCTTAGAACTACGCTTACTTCTAGATTACATGTAGCTTGTGGATGGGCACTCAATGTACAACAAAAATATGCTCTATTGGTTCAAGGATACAATGGAAGTAGTTGTGAACTTCTTGGGCCGCCTGTTAAAGGAAAAAACGCCACTACATGGAATGTTCCAAAAACTTAACTTAGTTTACAAAGCAAAGTGCCCTTAAATAAACTTCGGAAACAGAAACAGGGCAAAAATGTTACTCTAGCAACTCCATTGGATAAGATAGCTATTCTTAGTAATACACTAGGTTAAATGAGTACAACGATAATGGAGCTGCATGACAGATGTCGCACCACATGGACATGGCGCTAAATCGACGAAAAAAATACAATAACCTTAGGCTAAAATACACAGAAATAGCATCGAAACAAATCATATTGAGTAATTCACTGGTTAATACAAATCTAACAATGTTTGTGAAACGATAAGTCTACAAATTAAATGGAACCGTAAGTAAAAGAGGAGAACCATGGGTCACATGATCAAAACTAGTGTAACGGCAAAGGGTTACATTCTGACACTCACATCACAGCTGCTCCACACTGGAGGGATGGAGGCGGGCAGGTTCGCTGGCAAGGACAGCCTAGATGGTTATGTCGCCGTAGTCCTGTGACCACTTCTCGTACGAGTTTAGACTCTGCGGAGCCACGGAACGTCGGATGCGCTTCAGGGAGCTGTGAAAGTCCTGCTCCGTAATCGCACGCATCGCACTTATGTCCAGGCACTTCACCTGCTCCACGTTTAGCTCTCGGATGGGCTCCAAGGCTGCGTCCTTGGCCAGCGCAGTTAAGTCGGAGCCCGAGTAGCCGTCGGTGATCTTAGCCAGACGACGCAACGCCTCCGTATCCAGCGGACTGCCCTGCTTCTGCAGCAGTCGGTTCAGGAGCAGCTCGCGCGTCTGCTCGTCGGGCAGTGAGACGTAAACGCGTTTCGTGAACCGTCGTAGGGCAGCCTCGTCCAATTCCTGCGGCCGATTGGTGGCGGCCAGCACCACGATTCTATCGCCGTCTGGATTACCTGGCAGTCCATCAAACTCCACCAGGAACTCGGTCTTCAGCCGGCGCGATGCCTCATGTTCGCTGCTGCTTCGCTCCGAGAGCAGCGAGTCCACCTCATCAATGAAAATAATCGAGGGCTGCATGTGTCGAGCCACTGCAAAAAGGGCCCTAACCAATTTCTCGCCATCGCCCACATACTTGCTGGTTAGCGAGGCAGCCGAAATGTTCAGGAAGGTGGCACTGCACTCGGTAGCCACGGCCCGGGCCAGGAGAGTTTTACCATTTCCGGGTGGACCAAATAGTAGCAAACCTTTGGCCGGGGCACGAAGACCTGAGAAGATAGAAGAGTACCTATAGACAAACTTAAAGCAACTCCCTAATAGCAAACATACCCGTAAAGAGCTCCGGCCGGACGGAGGGCAGTATGACCATCTCCTGAAGAGCCTGCTTGGCTACGTCCTGACCCGCGATGTCCGTCCACTCCACTTTGGCCCCGCCCTCGACAATTTCATCAAGTATAAGCTGCACCAGCTTCTGCTCCACTCCTTTCACGCTCACCACCGGAGTGCTGGCGCCACTGCCACTAGGTCCGTTGTTGTTTATGGGAGTTCGTGAACGCTGAGGCGGCGTATTCCGACCCGATGACTGCAGATAAAATGAAATATTTAAAAAAAAATATATATATACATACAAAAAAAAAAATACTAAGCTTCAAAATCACCAAGCCATCAAATTGAAATCATAATTGTAATACGAAAGTAAGCGTGTTAAATAGTATTGTGTTGAGTAATAAACATTCACTTTGCCAATAAACAAAATTTGAGTACCCTGAGAATGCAAGTCTTTGTTTACTGCTCTGACCTAAAACAAATATGTTTTTAGTATAGAATGATCTATGAGCAATTAATAAATATATTAAAACTTTGTTTTTAGTATAGAATGATCTATGAGCAATTAATAAATATATTAAAACTATCTCGAGTAGTATGTGGAAATAGATTGGCAGTGCCAAATTTTTGTAAGCTGAGCCCATTTTTTATCATCTTTCGCTGCGTTGCAAACTCTCCAAAAATATAAACAGATACATTTTGTTTAGGTATCCCATATACTCACAAACTGGCGACGAACGGCGGGCGGAGTGGCAGCCGTCTTGGCTGGCTGCCTTTGGACTGCGCCCACGGATGTTTTGGAGCCAAGGTTGCGCGGCAGCGTTTGCGACTTGTTGGCCACGGCCAAATTGCCGGGCCGCTTGGTTCCAATAGTTAGCTTGCGACCAGATGCTGTGTAAGAAACAAAATAAATATGATCAGAGAAGGATAATCGAAAAGAAGATACTTTTTTTCAAGCTACAATTTAGGCAAGCAAAATAAAAATGTTAATAAAATAAAGTGCCAAGTGAGGAGTGATAGGGATTGACTGATAGATCTGCTTTAGGTCGCTGTTGCGCTGCCGGGTGAGGATCTTGTTGGGTGCTGGTGAGCTGGTGGGGAACTTACCGGTGGGCTGGGCACTGGTGGTGGCCTTGGGCCCGTAGCCACTGCTGCGCACTTTGAGTTTCATGGGTTCGCTCGTCATGCCCGCCAGCATGGGCTCCCTGGACTTCTGGGGCTTGCTTTGAGCCTGCTCCTTCTGCTTCTCCTTCAAGGAGAGCCGCTGCATTTGCAGATCCTCCTCACGCAGCGCTGCGCGTTTGATGAACACGACAATATGGACAAAACCAAGGTAGACAACAAAAAAGCAGGGTAAACGTGCAAAATGAAATAAACAAAAAATGAGGTAAACAAAAACTATGTTTCCGGGGTAGAGGGAATACGGCCAGCCACTCACCCAGAAAGTGGAGACGGTCCCTTGCCATCGAGAGGTTTGTCTGCATCTTGTCATGCAGCCGCTGGGCCCGATCCCACACATCCCCACGTCCACTCCAGCAGTCGACAGCGATGCCATCCTCCAGCTCCTTGATGCCCTTTCGGTAGAGCTCAATTGCCAGCTCTTTGTGACCTGGAAAAATAAAACGAAAGAGAGGTTTAGTAGAATTCGACTTTGCAATATCCTTTAAACTAAATCGTGCTGAAAATTATTAATAGTCTATAGACTTTAAAGTACTTGATGCCCTATTAAATATTAAATTAAGAAAACTCTTTCAGAGATCTATGTACTTAAACGAAGTTTTAATATTAATATATTGCCTTCTTAAAACCTTTTTAGCCCAGTCAGCCAAGAATAAAAAATGTAGAAAATGAAATGGTAAACAATTTTCCCTGATCCATGTTTTCTTAAGAATATATTTTAAACGATCTAAAAAGTTGTAGTTCTCCTTTCAAATCAATTTTGCACGATTAAAGTACTTTGAATATACCCTTGTGCACTATGGAAAACCAGTATAAAAAAGCATAGAATTGAATGACTCCTAGTCAATAAGTGTCCATCAAGGCAGACCACTCCCCCATTTCCTCCTCCGCTTGACATGTGGGGCATCTTTTGTGAGCGCGATTCGGCTTATTGATTCACACACTCGACAGACAACAAAAGCGGCCAGCGGGCGATGACTCATTGAGCATCGAGTACTCGAACTCGAACTGGATCTCCCACCCCCGACAGCGTCACTCACCTTCGTTCTCCTCGTCAATCTTGAGCGCCTTGGAGATGTACTCGAAGGCGCGGCGATGGTGATGCTTCTGCTTGGCCAGCAACGGATCACCGGGACCAGGTGAATAGCCTCCGCCTGGACGATTGGCGGCCATTTCCAAGGGTTGAACTGCCCTGTAACGCTGCGGCTGATTGGACAACTGCTGCTCCTGCCCAGCACCCTCACTATTCAGCTCGAGGGGATGGTTTAACTGCTGCTGCTCCTTGGAGGAATTCTGCACCACAATCTCTATGTTACAGTCGCGGCGGTGCGGACGGTAAATAACCTTTGTGCTCGCCCCGTACAAGTAGCGAAAAATACAAAACAGCTGATAAATCAGCGAGCGCAGAACGTTAAAGAGAAATATGATGGGGAAAGAGACGACGTAGAGGTTCTGTTTGTGCACGGAGGAGGAGGAGGCGCCGTACGGATGATGGTGGCCGCTGCGCGGGGAGCACGAGGTAGGGGTCAGGTCATCTGTGGTGGTGGTGTCGTCGTCGCCGTCCGGCGAACTGCCCGGACTACGTCGATTCGAGGAGGAGCCGCCACCGACGGATGAGGAACCGGCGACAACGGCGGCAACGTTGGAGGCGCTCGACGAGCGGTGCGTAGACTGGCGACCACTGATGACGCCGCCCGAGGATCCTGCTCCACCGCTGGACTTTATGGGTGACTTGGTACTGCTACTGCTGGCGCTGGAGGAGGATGACTGGTTTTTGGTGCGTACCATCGATATCGATTCCGCGCTGTCTGCGCGTCCAGCACTCCGGCCCCCCGCTCTCCTTGCCCTTGTCCTCAGCCCCGCAGAAGTTGCACGGGGAAGTGTTCCTTTAAGCTTAAACGGTTGGCAGTGGCACGCGTCGGTAACGTCGACACACAAAATCAAATAACCACGGACGCACTTTATTGTTGTCCGATGTTGGAGCAAGTGCTCATTTTGCTGCTATCCGAGAGTACTGATTTTTCTCCGCACTTAAAACTCTCCGACGTTGAAAACTGAAGCTAAGCTCTGGAGCCCCCAGCCAGTGCTGCCCAACTATCGATTACCAAATCTGTGGTGTTCGTTACATAGCTAGAAAAATAGCTAGTTCAAAATTTGAATCGTGGTATATAACGGACTATATTGCTACTTAGCTTCGCACGTTTCTTTTTTGGTGGTTTTCAAGGTCGAAATGTTATCTTTAATATTACTCAATACTCAATCATAAACTATTTATATACATATTTTTAAATGAGTTATTTTGTCTAAATACAAATTGCAGTTCCTGATATTTTGGATCAGAAGGAACTTGGGATACGACTGTAAGTCTTACAGTTGAGTTTTTAAGTTATTGTACTTTTGTAATAGTTATTTAATTATTGTTAAAAATGACAGTGTCCATAATTTTGACCTTTGAAAGAACTAATTTTAACGGAAAACTTCTAGGCTGGCATATCTGCTTCAAAATCAGCTGCGGACAGAGCTGCCACACTGTTTTGGCAGTTCAAAATTAGATATCTGGGATAAATTAAAACAACCAGGAACGACATTATTCAGATCGTTTAGATTAGCATAATTTAAATACAATTTTTGGTGGAAATTTTCAAAAAAAAAAAAACTACTGCCCGGTGTGGTAGCTCTGGTAGCTGGGTTTGCGATAGCGATACATCGTTAACACAATCTGGTACACTAACTGCCATCCCATCTCTCTCTCGGTTGTTTTTTTTGCGTTTTTGCATAACAAAATCTAAAAAAATTCGCCCAAAACGCAAGCGATCACGGATACGGAGATTAGGAGACCAAGTGCGGCACATCGCCCTTGCAGAGGAAACGGAATGGGTCAGTACACGGCGACGCAGCGCAAGAATGTGAGGATCCTGCTCGTGGGCGACGCCGGGGTGGGCAAGACGTCGCTGATTCTGTCGCTGGTCAGCGAGGAGTACCCAGAGGAGGTGCCTCCGCGTGCCGAAGAGATCACCATTCCGGCGAACGTGACGCCTGAGCAGGTGCCCACCAGCATCGTTGACTTCTCGGCCGTGGAGCAGACAGAGGAGGCCCTGGCTGCCGAGATTAACAAGGCGCACGTGGTGTGCATTGTGTATGCCGTGGATGACGACGACTCCTTGGACCGGATCACCTCCCACTGGCTGCCGCTCGTCCGGGCCAAGTGCAACCCCTCGCTGGACGGCGAAGGAGATGCCGAAGCGGAGGCGGAGGGCGATACACAGTGCGAGTCCGTGCGGAAACCAATAGTCCTGGTGGGCAACAAGATCGACCTGATCGATTACTCCACCATGGACAGCGTGCTGGCCATCATGGAGGACTACCCTGAGATTGAGAGCTGTGTGGAGTGCTCGGCTAAGACGCTGCACAATATATCCGAGATGTTCTACTACGCCCAGAAAGCGGTGCTGCACCCCACTTCACCGCTGTACATGATGGAAGAGCAGGAGGTAAGTGGACCCGCCTTCACCAGAGTGTTTCATAGGTCGGGACGTAATCTTTGGAAATATTATAAGCTATATGGTCTAGCGATAATAGACCTAAAATTAGCTTGGACCCTTTCAAAAGTTTCAAATTTCTTTTTCAGCTCACATCTGCCTGCAAGAAGTCGCTGGTGCGAATATTCAAGATCTGCGACATCGACGGGGACAATCTGCTGAACGACTACGAGCTGAACCTGTTCCAGCGGCGCTGCTTCAACACGCCTTTACAGCCCCAGATCCTTGACGAGGTGAAAGTTGTGATACAAAAAAACGTGCCCGATGGCATATACAACGATGCGGTCACCCTGAAGGGCTTCCTCTTCCTACACTGCCTGTTTATCCAGAGGGGGAGGAACGAAACCACTTGGGCGGTGCTGCGGAGATTTGGCTACAACGACCAGTTGGAAATGTGCCAGGAGTATCTGAGGCCCCCCCTGAAAATACCACCTGGCAGCAGCACAGAACTCTCGCACCGTGGTCAGCAGTTTCTTATCGCAGTGTTCGAGCGCTATGATCGTGATGGTGATGGAGCGTTGTCGCCTGAAGAGCACAAAATGCTGTTTAGCACGTGCCCGGCTGCACCGTGGTCATACTCCACTGATATTCGCAAGTCCTGCCCGATTAACGAAACAACGGGCTGGGTGACTCTGCACGGATGGCTTTGCCGCTGGACCCTTATGACCCTGATCGATGTGGTAAAAACCACGGAATACCTGGCCTACCTGGGTTTCAATGTACATGAAAACGACAGTCAGCTTGCGGCAATTCACGTAACCCGAGAGCGCCGCATCGATTTGGCCAAGCGCCAAAGCAGCAGATCCGTGTACAAGTGTCATGTGATTGGGCCCAAGGGATCCGGGAAGACGGGAATGTGCCGCGGCTTTCTGGTGGAGGACATGCACAAGCTAATCGGCAAGGAGTTTAAAACGAATGTGGTGCATTGCATTAACTCTGTTCAGGTGTATGGCCAGGAAAAACACCTCATTCTTCGAGATATCGATGTGAGACACGCCCTCGATCCCCTCCAGCCGCAGGAAGTCAACTGCGATGTGGCCTGCTTGGTATTTGACTCCTCGAATCCCCGCTCCTTTGAGTACGTGGCACGTATCTACATAAAGTATTATGCGGAGAGCAAGATCCCAGTCATGATAGTGGGCACCAAGTGCGACATGGACGAGCGCCGCCAGGACTATTTGATGCAGCCGGCGGAGTTTTGCGAGAAGTACAAATTGCTGCCCCCGCACCTCTTCAGCCTTAAGACCAACAAGAAAGAACTGTACACCAAGTTGGCAACCATGGCAGCTTTTCCGTGAGTAGACCTTTTGGGAGTTCTCGGTGTTATAATTCAGCTGGTAGCAGCTAAGTGAACTCTAATCGGGGTCCACAGTGTGGTGCTTGTTCTGTGAGCTAATACACATGGCTTAAAGCAGTGAAATACTTTTCTGAAGTTTATCAAACTTTTTAAAAGATGGACAAAGTATTTCACTCCTCACAGTAGTTTTAGATTGCATTTAACATTTGGGACACATCTTGGATTAATGGCTACTTATCTTCTTATCTTCTCTTTTCCCCTTTTTTGTGTGATGGTTGGTGTCTGTTTTTCTGTGTTGTTTGATGTTTGTGCACGTCGATGGCTTCGCGGATTTGCAGGCGCTTCCAGGCCGCCTGGATACTGTTCTACAAGCACAGGTTGGTACAGCTGTGGGAGTCGGCGTAAGTGTTACCATTCAAACTGAACTCGTTACTAATGTCAGTCTTCTATCTGTTGTTGTTCCATCTGCCACGGTCCCCGTATTACTTCCATGGGAGGCGCACAGATCCCCTATCCATAACCGCTTAATTAACGTGGTGTGCGGCAGCATTTTATAGTTATTTAGTTTTACCCTAACACCACCTTTTAAAATCTTTCGACTGTTTCAATTGTTCTAATCCGCACCTTTCCTTCCACATGCAGCCACTTGCGGCAATTCGGCTTGATGACGGAGGATCCCAAGCTTTGGTGGAAGGCAGGTCTGGGCGTGGCAGCGGCTACCATGCTGGGATTTATAGTGCTGAAGACCATCAGTGCCGCCGGAGCGCACTCCCGCTAAAGGAAGTCATTGGAATTGGGAGAGGGACTTACAAACACACGATTACCACAGACACGTTAATGTTCAAGAAATTCATGTAACTTATTAATTACTTCTTTGCTTGCTACTGTAAATCCAAATTTATTGTTACGAAAACCAAACCAAATGATGAAAAGGACACACGCCGATGTTCTCATTCCTGACATGTAAATACACTTGCCAAGTACACTAGCAGGAATCTGACGGAAGCAGTGGCCAGTAGACAATGAATAGCGGCAGGCCAGTCGAGCACATTGTGTATGTTGCATTTCTATCGTATATAACCCTAACTTAAATCATGTACTCTCTGATAAGTCAAATAAGTTATTGTTACCATCATAATCGAGTAACCAAACAACCGATATCGTACATAGTTGATAGTGATATGTACACGTACTGGGTTCTATATAAACCATATATACTACACCTAGAAAATCGCCCGATTCGGTGATATCGCACTTTTGTAAATACGCGCAAAGCCCCTAGTATGAGCAATAAATCTATCTATAATTGTGGATTTTCATATAGCGAACTTTACAGGATATTCTTGTGTTTTTATTTGGAATACTATTTTATTGAAAATGTCGGAATCGGCCTCCTTATGCCCGATTTTATTTTTATACCCTTGCAGAGGGTATTATAATTTTGGTCAAAAGTGTGCAACGCAGTGAAGGAGACATCTCCGACCATATAAAGTATATATATTCTTGATCAGGATCACCTCCTGAGTTGATATAGCCATGTCCGTCTGTCCGTCTGTCTGTTTCTACGCAAACTAGTCTCTCAGTTTTAAAGCTATCGAGTTGAAACTTTGCACACAGCCTTCTTTCCTTTGCACGCAGTATATAAGTCGGAACGGCCGGGATCGGCCGACTATATCCTATAGCTGCCATATAACTGATTGATCGGAAATGCCATAACTTTGGTGTTTGTAAAGTTAGGAAGAATTTTCTATGGGCTTTATATTTGGCAACAATCCGATTTACCAAATTCATAAGGATGGCCGACTATATCTAACGCATAAACGATTAGGAAATGCCATAATTTTGGTGTTTGTAAAGTTAGGAAGTTGGGATTTCATCGGTTTTATATTTGGTCAATCAATCCGACCTACCAAATTTCATAAGGATCGGCCGACTATATCCTATAGCCGCCATATAACTGATTGATCTGAAATGCCATAACTTAGGTGTTTGTTAAGTTAGGAAGTTGGGATTTTCTATGGGTTTTATTTTTGGCCAATCAATCCGACCTACCAAAGTTCATAAGGATCGGCCGACTATATCTTATAGCTGCCATATAACTGAACGATTGGAAATGCTATAACTTTGGTGTTTTTAAAGTTAGGATGTTGGGATTTTTTATGAGTATTAAGAATGCATCATATGAATAATTTTGGAGAATATAATTTACAGAGTATTCTGCAAGGGTATATCAACTTCGGCTCCGCCCGAAGTTAGCTTGCCTTTCTTGTTTTGTATAATTCATTAGCAACTAGTTAGTAAATTAAACTGAGTCATTCATTTTAAAAAGATACCAGCAACGACATTTTTTTTTTTAAAAAGCTTTAATAATAATTTATCTTATTATAAACGAGTCTGTAGAGAACTCATGCTTGTCGAGGTCTCAAATACATATAGAAAATACTATTTTAATCCTACTTTTGTATGCCATTGATGGCTGCTGCATTGGCAGCTGCTGGCGACATGCAATTGCCATCAGGATAGCGCTTTTGGAACTGCGTGATGAGCTCTGGATCTACCAGCCGAATACCATCCAGCTGGTTTCCCAGGGTTATCCAGTTGGGCTGGATGTTGTGGGGCCGCCCGAAAAGCTCGATTTTGCGGGTACCCGGACTGAGGCGCTCGATGATGCCGTAGATCTCGTCCGGCTTGTGCGAGGTGGCCCGCACCTCTGCCACGATAACGTCGCAGTCCAGTCCTCGGTTGAGATTGGTGGGATTGCCCTTCATGCCCACCAGGCAGTGCTCTTTGCCGTGGTTCAGCCAGTGACCCGTGCGTCCGGTACGAATGATCCGTTGGAGCTGGTTAGTCTTCACCCAGATAAGCTCGTCTACGCGTTCGTAGCCCCACAGCTTGAGGCAGTCGCGGCCCAGTTCCATAGCCCGCCCTGTGACCCACAGGAAGATGAGGCCATCGTCTTGTAAAGCCGGCACACCCAAAGCTCTCATTTCATCGTCCGACATCGTTCCGTAGGGCAGCTCCATGTGGATATCCCAGGGAGGATCGGCCATCACCACCGCAAACTTGCCCAGCACCGTCATGTCCAGGAACCGCAGATCGCACTGAATCCACTGTGGCGGATAGAGCGTGCAACTGGAATCGACACTGCGTTTGAGGCTCAACTTGGTCTTTACATCCGTAGGTTTGTTGGTGTTGATATGCGGCAGTGTGTCCACCTCGTAGTGCACGTATTTGCAGGTGGCCATGTGAAAGCAGGTGTTCAGGAAGCTGCAGTCCCCCAGCGACTCGTCAGTGTGCGCCTGAATGATCTTCTTGAAGTGCAGTTTAGTGCATTTGTCCGTTGTCTCGCTCCCGCAGGTGTCGCTGCCATCGGTAGACTCCTGGGACTCGGCCTCGCAGTTGTTTAGGCTCTCCGCGATGATCTCGCCATCTTCGGCTGTGGAGTCTACTGTCTTTGAAAGCTTTCCGCTGCTGCTTTCGACCGCCTCCCCATCAGTGCGTAGTTCTTTTTCATCCCTTCGTTCCTGCTTCTTTTTGGCTGCCATCTCAGCAGTGGCTTGCTGGGCTTTTAGGCACTCCACCTTGGTACCATGGGAGCAGAACTCCATGACTTGCGCTCCGCCGTGGGATTTGAATTTCTCCGCCACAGAGCGCTCCTTGGCCGTGGGCTTGGTAAGGAGCTCCAGGATCTCCTCGCCCACCTGCTTGCTCTGCTTCTCGCGGGTGGAGGGCATGGAGAGCAGCATCATGATGTCGTCGGAGGCGTCCAGGCTCGTGGATTCCTTACGCGCGGCACTGGAGTCTAGTTTCAGACTTTTTTCCTGCGGCTGATCTCCATCTTCGACTTCCACTGTAAGCGTAAAACGAAATTTCTAATCTACACTGCTTATTGACCTTGATGTGAGAGACTCACATTTCCTTTTGGCTTCCTCTTCCTTTTGTTGACATGTGTCATTGGTGTCCTCCAAGATCTCTTTTAGCTCCTTGGGCTGCACTGATATTATCTCGCAGCCGGCCTCGGTGCCGATGGTCACGTTCCGGATCACAATGGCTCCCTGGTTGGCCAGTTTGCCGAGTATGAAGTTGACCATTTCCAGGCTGCTGCCCGCAATCTTCTCCACCACCTGCGTGGACACGATGGGCAGGGCTAGGGACAAGGAACTGAGCGTCTGCAGCACCTCCTTCTGCACCTCCAGGTCGGCCTCAACTGGAAGGGAAAGAACATATGTGTTTTTTAGAGGTTTCAACTTTTTGCCATTGCTAGCTCTTACCGAGTTCCTTTTTGGGATTCGTCAGATCCTCTTGTATGTCCGATAGGATCTCGATGCGCTCCTTTTTGCGCTTCTCCAGCTTCTCGCGGAGAGTGTTTCTTTTCGTCTTCAATGATTTTATGTCCCACGCGTCTGCCATTGTTTATACACAAGTCGCCGGCGGCGGATGGTAAACAAAGTAATTTTTTTTACAAAGATTGCCGAAAAGTGTGGCCGTATACCTGCGTAGAAAATATACCCAATAAAAAAATTCTTTTAAAACTTTTAAAAGTGAACGCCAGCTGTTTGCATCTCGCTCTCTCTCATGACTGGCGTACGGTTTTCGTCGATCTGGATACTAGGCTTAAGTAATCTTTTAATTAAATAAAAATTGTAATTTGTAAAAGTATTCATTTTTTTTATAAATGTTGTTTACGAATTTTTTACTTATTAATTCAGATATTAAGTAATTAAAATCCAGGTTCGCCACATTTTGTTCCTTATTCTTTGCTTTTGCTAATACTTATTAAAGATTTTTTATCTTTCAAATAAATGTACGATTAACTTTAAATCTCAGTTTAAAATTTGAATATTGAACATTGCTTCACAATCATGTTTCAAGTGTCCAACACTACAAATGAAGTCCGCCCATTTTCGAAACAAAAAAATTGGATATGAATGATATCTTGTTTTGCAATATTCTGTTTCTTATTCTTTGATATAGCTATTTCTAATTAAATATATTAATATCTGTCAAATAAATGTAAGATTGAGTCCTTAAACACAGTTTGAATATTGCACATTGCTTCACAATCAAGTTTCTAGTGTCTGACAGTAGCAATAAAGTCCGCTTATTTCGAAACAGTGTTGGACAAAATTTAAATTGATATATAACATTTTATTGGCTTTTTGTTCAACTTGATTAACAATTAATTAATTCATTTTAATTATTATTAAGGATTTAATGCCAATTACCGTTATTTTAACGTTTATTGCATAATGGTATATTTTATTGTTTCAGGTCCGCCCAGTTGGTATTTTTCAGGGCTCCCACTCCGGTCACACTGCTCCGCTCCCCATTGCACCAAGCGGAAGCTGCGACGTCGCTGCTCCGCAACAATTTGACCAATAAAACGTGCTGAAACTCATAAATAATTGATGAAAACCGTTCCAAACGTAAATATTAATCAATTCAGACAAACAAGTGAAAAAATCGCGAAATACAGGCGCGTGAGTGTCGGAGAGAAAGAGAGTGAGTGCAGCCTTTTGCTTGCTCCCCGAAATTTGTGGCGTTTTCTTTTTGTTTATGCGAGCAAGAGAGAGCGCGAAGCATAAGTGCGCACCCACACGAGTGGGGATTTGCGAAAATCGAGTGGATGTGTGTGAGTGCGCATAGCATTTGCACACATTGTTATTGTTGGGGCGGTAGAGAGAGAGCCGAAACTAGGGCCAGATTTTTATAACGGCGACATTCGCACTTTTACTCTGGAGCATGACGGTTCTTTCGCGGCACTTTCGACGCGATTTAAAGCTGCAGCCAAAGCAGCAGCAGCTTCCGAGTCCGCTCCGAATCCACAACCGCATCCGAATCCCCAGCAGCCGAGGAGCTGTCTAATCCGCAACAGATTCGCAACGCGTATATATTGATTCAGTGCGAGTGCAGTTGCAGCGCGCACCCCTCAGAAAATCCAAACCCCCACCTCACTTTAACCACCCCTCGTTTTTCTCTGTGTATACTATAGCTTTTTGCTCCTTTTTTTAAGGCGGCGGCACGCCCTTTCCCAACGTGCGTGCGTGTGCGTGTTTGTGTATATGTATTGGCGGGCTAACCCAAAAAAAAATATACAAATTGTAAACTTTTGAAAAATTGGAATTGTGAAAACTATCAGAAAAATATGTGCCTGCTCGAGATATATTCCCCAGTGTGCATAGGAATAATGTGCAACAATAGTACATAAACAGCAATCAAGAAAACACCTCGCGAACACGAAATTTAATTCGAAAACCAGCACATAAACAACATGAAGATGGTAGATAAGTCATCCAAGTTGGTGGATAAATTTGCCGTTATCAGCGGCACCGGCGGCAGCGGAACCGGAGGCGGCCCACTCAATATGCCCGTCGGGATCTCCAGCACTGCTGGATTGGCCGGTGGATTGATAGGTGGTGGCATGACCAGCGGAGGAGCCAATGGCCAGAAGCCGGTGCCCATGAAGCTATTTGCCGCCTGGGAGGTTGGACCGAACGCCGCCCAACTGCATCCCAAGGTGAGTGTCAACAAATTTCACATAGTGCGACGAGAGACAGTAAAAGAAAAGCAGCGCCTTGCCAATTTGTTTTTTGTTTATTTGCCATAGGAATTTAAAGAGTAAAAAAAAAAAAAACACAAAAGGAAAAACGCCAACTGCGGCATTACCAAGAGTGGTTATTATTATTAAACTAGTCGACGGTATAGCTAACTTTTATGTATAAGCCTTCAAACTTAATAGCTTACAAGCTGATAGATGTATACTCTTTAAAAGTTACTAATAAAAAAATAAATAATAGCTTTTCACTGGTAGAGATTACAAGCCAAATTATTAAAAAGAAAATAAACAGCCCTGAAAAAGTGATAAAAATATAAATAAAAATACTTAGAAATGCTTATTCAATACAAAAATGAAATCTTTGTAAGTTTTATTTGTATTGGCTAAAAGTGACTGAGTTAAAGGTCATACAATTTTGATACTTTTGAATAGATAGTACAAATCAGCAGTTTGTTTACAGCATATTGTTGATTTTGTGCCAATTTGCTTTCGTGCTGGGTTTCCGTTCGATTGGGTTTTGTTTTGTTCCTATTTTTAGTTAACAAAAGCAAAAACTGTGAGCAAGCGCGCTAACTGTTATTTAACAGGCTTTGTTTTGTTGTTCGCTGGCAAAGCTGACATTTATTTATTTGCCTCTGCCCAAGAAATCGAAAAAGTTTAAAGTGCATAATGAAATATATTACCATTCTGGCCCAAGAATAAATCGATTTTACGCCTTTGCGAACCTGGCCCTGCTTACAAATATTGATTTGAGCTTTTGTAACGAAATATTTAAAGACCCCGAATGGAAAATATAAGATCTATAATCTTAATTTTGTGTAATTAATAGATTATTAAAGGTGTACGCTCTTGACCCCTCTGACGAATTTTTTTTTAAAGCAATGTCGAAAATTCGTCCATGATTAGTAAATCTGACCGCAATAAAATCCCAACCTAACCCAATATTGTGTTAGAGATAGGGTAGCTAGTTTAAAACAATTGTGTGGCGCGTACAAAACTATGAATGTTTTTTTCTTGGAATAAGTATTTCCCTGGGGCAGCTTGTTAACTCAGAATGCAACTTAAGATCAAAGGGGATTTTTCAATGAATGTAAAATGTTACAAAACTTCACAGTTGTCAGCCTGGAAAACAATTGTTTTACTTCGTTCTTTTTAATATTTTATATATTACATAGTTACGAAACTAGATCGTTATTCAGAGTATAATTTACCTTGAAATATATTTGAAACAAAGCTAATCAAGTGGAAATATGATAACCCTTACCAATAATCATTCATAAATTATAGAAATTTTATTTTCGCAATCTTTGTATACATGCTATTATCTTTGAATAGCGATCTTGCAAATAAACCCGTTTTTTTTGTTGGTTTGTTTTTGCTTGCTTTCTTTCATTCCACACGTCTTGTGCCATGCCTTTGTCCCAGTAACCCCGAAATGAGTAATGCCCCATCTTTGGCTGCTATTCTTTGAGCTTCTTCTGGTCTGGCTGATAAGAATTAGCGGCTTATTTGCATGGAGGATGACTCAGACTTTGTATATGTAATTTGGCTAAAATGTTGACTCTTGACAAAGATTAATCTAAAATTGGAATGGACACCCGCTGCGACGGAGAAATTACAAATTAGGCAAGGCAAGAAGCACTTTTTAAGCGATTTTAATCGCTTTTGTATATTTTAAGACCTCTCAAGGCGATAAGCTGGTCAAGTAGAAGGGGCAGAAGGCATTAAAATCTAAATAGTCGAAGGCCGTATCCACGCCCACGTATTGGATAGGATATCTGATTTGATATTTTTATTAATATGTTTTTTTTACTGTGTATAAATACCAGCAGTTGCCTGGAAAGTATTTACTAAATATTTGATGGCCAAGGCCAAATTCGCTCCTCTTGCCGTCGTTTTGCTCCTGACACTTATTTTGGTGGCTCTTTTTTGTTTGTTGAAAGGTCATAAACCGCTGCTGCCGCCTGCGTTTTATCTTTGGGATACATTTTGAGTTTGGGTTTGAGTTTTCCGTCTTTGTTTTGCTTTGTTTGTTTATAATTATGCGCTCGCTTGGCTGGCTTATAATTAGAAACTGAAGCTAAGCAAGCAAATTGGGAATTTTTCAGTCACCAACTTTGAACTCTTCGACCGAAAAGAAGAAGCCAAAAACTTTCACCAGGGCTTAAAAGCCAGTAAAGACAATATTTCCCCCTTGGCTAATTAAAAAATGTAATTTTGGCTAATTGCAGCTGAAAGTACATTTAATTTATAGTTATGCCAGCAGCATGTGTCGTCATTTTTTGGCCTATTTCCTTGTTTCCCTCTGGCTGCGCAAATTGTATCTTTATGTTGATTTTATCTGTCTCCGAATGCGGCACGTAGAGCATATCCAGACTTTGATTAGGGCTCACGCGGCATTAGCGCAAGTTTTCCTTGCGGTCGCCAGCCGTACGTGACCCGTCTGATCTGGCGCATTCGTCTGACCCGGCTGATTCATCCGACTCTGCTTGACCCTTCGAAGCAATCAAATTCAAATCAAATCAGATATAAGATTCCCCTCTTCTCGACTCGGTGGCAATGTCAGGGTCTGAAATGCATTCAAGTTCGAGGCGTAGCAAATTATCCTTGGCAAAGTTGGCTGTGTAACTCGTTTTAATTTGCTGATTTGTCTGAGGGTTGCGGAAAGTTGTCTGTCAGGACTGAGCTGATTCGCTGTTCATTAACTTTCATGGAAGATACGAGTAAATGAAACTTTTCCATGATGATTAAACTTAAGGAAGGTGAATCGAATTATCCTTATCTTCTGTTATTCGCATGAAAGTAAGCATGATTGTTAGAGAAACGCAATGATACACGAAACTCGTAAAATCAATATGTGTAAATGAAAAAGCCATATACATTTTTATATACTGAGATAAGTCAAAGTGTTATTATCTTTGGCATAAAACCCCAA